AAAAAAAAAAAAAACAAAAAAAACAAAAAAACAAACAAAAAAAAAAACACAAACCAGAGCTTTGCTAGCCACCATTTATCTGTTCACATGACTTGTTTTTGGGAACTTATACACAGTATGCAGGTACTTACAGGTGTTTTGTCGGACCACTGCCACGTCCCTACAGAAAATGGGTTTCTTTTATTAAATCCAATCCAGAACTGTCTTTCTTCTGTCCTGTGATAGAAGCAGAGAACTATTTTAAACAAACTTTCCTTCGCTATTCCATAAATTACTTTTAAGTAGTGCAAAAACCCGTATTCATTTTTTAACTCTATTTCATACTGCAATGTATTTATTAACATTTTAGTTTCCTTGCAGTAAACCCCTTTTGTTACTAAAATGTTAAGTCATATTTTTAAGAGAAATTTTTTTTAAAATAGGATTCAAATTGCAGAATCTCCAGTTCAACAAAGGAATGTTAACTCATAAGAACATCACTAACATTAAGAGTCATTTGATGTCTACTGCAAAGATCATCTTCAAAAAGAGTCACTTTACAGCGTACTATTACACTTCTTTTCACCCACTTCTAAGTTTGTGTTAGTAGTAGTCCTCTTCAGACACTATTAAAGTACATTCCTTAGATCGTGGGTTATTTTAACAAGGGTTACCTTAAGCACATTAATCCGTAAACGTTAGTAAAGCCTATTTACCTATCAAAAATTGTATATAATAAATTGTTTAAAAAAGTCTCTTCATAGACATGGGAAAAACTAGCAAGATGTGCTCCAAAATCTTGACATAATGCTTCTGCTTCACTCCATGTTCTTTTCATCAGAACTTTCTCTCTGTGAAATATCTGCAATAAAATAAACACTGCCGTAAGTGTGATTGATTTCAGAGAGCAATTGTTTCAAAAGACCATAAAAACTAAATATCACAGCTCTTCCTACAATAAAGTTTATATTTCAAGCACAGTTCTGATTCAAGACTTAAGAATTTCATTCACTTTAAAATGCCATTAAAGGATGGTAATATTTTTTATTTGCTAAGTAGAAAACAGTGCTTTAGAAACAGTATATATATATATTATATATATATGAAGGATATATATATATATATATCCTTCAGAAACAGTATATTCCTAAAACAACATAGAACCTGAAAAATTTAAAACACATTCACCAATTACCTTGTAGCAGTTGAGTAAATTGCCTTCTGACTCCCATCCAAAGTAGCAGGAACTCAAATGTCTTTGAAAAGTAAGTTCAGGTTCTTCATAAGAATTGACTTTTTGCTTGCACAGTGACATTGCTTTGAAGTTCTTGCAGCTTTTTACCTCCCAGTAACCAACAGGGTCCTGCCCCCGCATTGCCACACATCCTCCAGAATGACCTAAAGCATGGAAGAAACCAGCAAACAAAGCACTTGAATTTTGTGAATTTTTGGTGAAGTGACTGTTTCAGAGGCATTGAGTGCAAGGTAAAATTTTGATGAGGTTACAAAGGTAACAAATTCTGTGGTCAGCAATCAGGTTGTAAACATGTTTTGGCTGACATGAGCATATAAAACGAAACAACAAAAGATTCCTTTCAGAAAATGCAGAAAGGAAAATGCGATTTAAAACAGCAATTCAGTGAACTGCAGCAGTAAAGCAACAAATGTAGAAAGAAACTTAAAAGCAGTTAGCAAAACAGCATCTTTTTGTATTTATGTCTACATCTTCAGATATCTTTAAGTTGTTCACGTTTCAAAGGATGAAGAACTTAAGTTCTAATCATCTAAAGATTCAAATGTTTGGCCACAACATCACTGGCCACATTTGAATCAATTTTCAAACATTCTACATATTAACTTGCTATTTCCAAGAATCGAAAAAATGAAAATTTTCTTTGGATTACCATAAAACAAAATCTAATGGCACACCAAGTACCAGCAAAGTGAAGAGGAAGAATTAAAACTCTACACACAGTGTTCTTATTGCCAGAAATGTATCTCAGACAATCTCTGCCCTCTTCTTCACAAAAACAGAACTGCAAACCACTTGTAGTGGGAGCATGTTTCTCCCCGCAGGCTTTTATTTTTTTTTTAATTCAGCACATGACTCACGTGGCTGATACTTGTTCCAGTTTGTGTAGCTTACAGAACGATTTTTCCCATCTGTTGTTAGCCAAAAGTATTCTCCTGTGTTGTTAAGGTCTTGCAGTCCTACCCAAAAATAAGTTCTCTCAGATTTTACCACACTACGGATCATGCTGGTAATAAAAGCTTGCTCAAACCTAATAAAACAATAAAGACAAAATGCTTATTAGTACAGAATAGGTCAACTGTCATTTTGGTTAGTAGATCTCATGAAACAACTTAAAATATCCAAGAAAATTATCTAGAAGTTACTTAATTATCTTTACAGAACTCTGTGGAAAATTTCACAGATCAGTTTATGATATAGCATAGTTTTTTCTTCCTTTTCTTCTTCCTCTACTCCCCTGCATTTGGGCATGTTCAAAGAACAGTAGATAGAGATCTCCTAAGCTCAATGCTAATGCTGCAAGATGCTAAAATATAATATATTCATGATGAACAGATATAAATTAGAAAATCTTTCTATGAAGAAGAAAAGTTGGCAGGGTCATAATAAGGTACAGAATACAGAAGAGCAAAAGCTTTGCACAGAAGTATCTTATTAGAACTAGACACAAAAAAAACAACATTAAGGAATCAGAGCTGAAAAACTCCAAGCACCAGCAAAAGGAATTACTTTTACGCTCTCAAATTTCTTCATTAATGCTGTGTGAGACATTTAGAGTTTTCTTAAGTAGCATGTGTCTCACACAGTAATCTCTTCTTCACTTTAGTATAAAGTATTCAGATGTAATTGGTACAACACAATAAAAAACTAACAATAAGCTTCCTTTGCTGCTCCAACATTAGAAGTGGAAACTAACATAATAAACAGCATTGGCTACATCCACCAAAAACACAGTAAAATCAAATAAACAGAAAAATACAGAACACATGCTTCCAGCGATGTGCAGTGTGCCCTTAGCTCACTGTGAATTTTGAGTTGTAAATGCTCAGCTGCCCAGAATTTGTTCTTTATCCTTCTTGTAACATCTGTTGCTGCAGCACAGTATACCACTGCATTTATTGGGCACAATCATGAAACCACCTAGCAGGCCAAATTCCCACCACTTTAAATCTTCATGCTGGGGAGCTTGTCTTTCCCTAAAATTTTTAGCTATCACCATCTGATTGGTGGCAGTTACAGTACTTCTCTCTTAAATGGATGGGTGTAACGTGATGGAAAGCATAGTGACAGCAGAGCAGCAAAGACCCAGGCTGCAGCAAGAAAGGATTTGCTCAAACGCAGCAGCCATAGACACAGAAATAAAGGAAAGAAACTGCTTACCTTCAGCCTCAGGTGCATACAGACCTCCAGTGAGATCCCCTCACCTCCACTGCCAACCCTTAAATGAGGTCTGGTGAGGGGTGGATCCTGGCCCCACCCCTTCTGATCATTCAGTGCACTGCATGCAGCTGAGCTCCCCTGGGTTGGCCCTGCTTTCCCACCAGGTGCTCAATCACTGCTTCAGACCGTGACTTAGCATTACCATTCTTTTTTTTTCCTGTTGTTTAGTGCATTGTTTGTTTTGTTTTTTAAATAATGAATACACATATGTTTAAGTATGTATATAGTCTACCTGTAATGGGAATCCAATATATAGGGTAAATCATAAACAGACTAGAGGAAATTCAAGCGTCTGGACATTTACAGAGAAGAAAAGCTTTGCTGAAGCTGGAATACGGGTAGACAGGAAAAAGAGCAAGTGTAGACAGACATCAGATGCTTTTCAAACACTTATTCTCTCCCCCTATTTGCTGAAGATTCACATAAATACAAAACTAAATAGAAAGATTCATAAAACATTACCTGATCTCAATTAAAATTTTATGCATTTTGATTATAAAAGTTAAAAATACAATAATTTTTCAATATAGTTTTTCCAAGTACACTAATTGAATTTCTTGAGGATGTTACATACCTCTGTATAAAGTGTTTTGTTTAGATTCCTGCATGCTCATGTGTGGGCATTGCTATAAATCTAAATTAGACTTAAAATTGCTTTTTACTAAAATCATTGTCAATTAAAAATAAAGTAAAACACACCTTTTTTTCTAGCTAATGTTAGTAATTATACTCAATTCTCAAACAAATATTATTTCATAATTGTAATTATCTTTTGCCATGCAATGCTCTCTGAAGTTAGAACAGCTCTTGTTAGAAGCATCTTCACGCTGTCTGATAGGATTAACTACCTGTTTGTTACTGACACAAGTGCAGATGGGCAGAAATAACCACTGGAAGCATGTTCAAAACTTCGAGGGGTACTGTCGATTTTGTAACAATATCCACCATGTCTTTCCCATCCCTTAAAAGAAATGAACATTTTTTTATAGATTATTATATAGTATATGGATGTTAAGAATTTGATCCCCATTTGTCATTTCTGTCTGTTCATCACTCACAACCCTACAGCCCTCTTCCATGGCTCCAGAGCAGCTCCCCTCAAGTTCCCTAAGAGGTAGGTGAACTTAACAAAATGAAGTTTAAATCCTTAAAATATATTAAAAAAAAAAAAAAACACCCCGAAACAAAACAAAACAAAAAAAAAAACCAAAAAAAAAACAAAAAAAGAACCAGTTCAATATACACATAGCAGTATCTTTAATGGGTATAGCAAAGATGTGGGCAACTTTAAGGCACTTCCTCCACACTTTTTTTTTTCTTGCACATTATACTTTGAACATTGCTTTGCTGACTTAGTTAGGGGTATACCAAGCCTCTAGGCCACCTCTTTGGCACAAAGCGTGTAGTAACACTCAACGGTTTACAGCTGTGTTAACTCACTGCTGATATTGAACACCTGAAGTACAAGTCAAACACTGCCCCATCGCAATCAGTTAAGTTACAAAAAAAAAAAAAAAGTTACAGCTGCTCTTTCTCCACACATGAAAATGGAAATATTTACTCCAGAAATATGCTGCCCTTTCATGCAGCAGTTCCTCCCAGTTATTCATTTCTTCTCAGCAATTTTCTTCCTTTTCAAAATTTTAAAAGGAAAGCAGCAACCATTGTGTTCTGATAATACAGAATTAAAATTAGACATGCTCATGGCTCATCCAATGAGCTGGAACACACTGTCAGAGTGCAGTTTGTCTCACTTTTCATTATTAATCTCTTGTCATCCACCTATGGTTGTCCAGAAGACCACACCAGGCCCAGTGGGAGCTCTGCCTGCACCAGTGCCCATGACATAGCTGCCTGGTGCTCCTGCCTGCACATTTTAAATAACCAGCAGACTATGGGAACAAGAAACCACCTCTGTACAGCTCATCTTGAAGCCACACAGAAAAGACAACCAGCTAGCCTTGCTTTGCCTCTCCCATGAGGGAGCTTGCAAAGAGGAGCAACAGGGAACCAGCACCAGAAGACAACAACTTTTGCTTAAGAACGTGCTTAATTGCTGTCAAGAGCATGCTGGGGAGCCTGAACACAGCTCTGCTGCCCTTTGCTGTCATCCTCCTTCAGTGTAATACCAGCTCCTGTGGCTTCATCTGAGAAACCACATATGCATGCTCAGATGCTCATTTTGCCAACAGAAATAAGCAAACCTGTGTTGGAAATCTTCCCTGACTGTACAGCAACAAGCTGGAGTTTCCCTGCCAGAGAGAGGCACCTGCAGGTGAGAAGGGCTCTTCCAGGTGGTGGATTCTATAGTGGGTGACAAGACAGAGCATAGCAGCTTGTGTTTTGATGGGGATGTAAAGGTAGTGAGTACTAGGGAAGGAGAGGTTCAAGCATTGACAAAAAAAGCCCCTCCTGCACACAGCCTACTCATGGCCTGAGTACACTTCCTCCTGGTTCAACTCTCAACGTTCTTAGCCTTTGAACAAGCTTCCCCTTCTCATTAACCTGTGCTCTGATCTTTTTGACAGGGTAGAGAGGTCAGAAATTGAATTAGCTGTGGGAGAGATTGTGGTACAAACAGTCAGAACGACAAACCACCCCATTTAGTCTGCAACCACCCAAGTGCTCTGCAGGAGAGCAGATGAGAAATGGCCAAGCTTTTGTTCCCTCTGACTGAAGTTCTCCAGTGAACAAGTGTATTGCATCAAATTAAGCAAACACAGTCATCATAACCTCCTGAAAATTTAAATTGGAAACAAATGGCAGTGCATAACCTTCCTCAAAAAGCTTTTTTGGTGCCTCAAGTCTGGAGAAAAGAAATTTGACACTAATCTTTATTAAAAATAATAACCATAATTGTGGAGTGACTGGAAGATGGTAAGCTTGCAATCAGGGCAAGCACAAGTTGAGAAATTCCAAACTTTAAAGGCTGAGTAATCTGTTACTAATACTGCATTCAGTGCAAATAAACAGGAAGTGATGCTTATGGAGACCTCTCCTGCCCTCACTGAACTGTTTCACATGCAGCTTGAGGGACAAACTAGCTTGCTCCTACACTGCAGGAATGAGATCTGCAGGTAATGTTCCATGAAAGCACCAGATTAGACAATAACTAAAATTAAACATGAAGAATTATAAGGACAGAGAGAACAGAGAAAGTAATCGTGTTCTTTTTCTTTTTTTTTGGTTTTTTGTTTTTTTTTTTTTTGTTTGTTTGTTTTTTGTTTGTTTTTTTTTGTTTTTTTTTGTTTTTTGAGTTGCAGCCCCCAATTGCTAAAAAAGCATACTAGAAAGGAAGGGCAAGGATGATGAAATGTAAGGAGTTGTTTCCACATAATAACTGAGCAGGCTTTGACCCTTCAGCCTGCCGAAAAGAGATGCCTTAGGGCAAAGTAAAAAATCCAGAGTGCTGTGAGGGTGGATTATTACCCCAGTATGAGATTCTGGGGACAATAAAAGAAGCTAAGTGAGAAGGAGATGGATTGAACGTGGAAGGGTAGCAAATTTATAGACCTCTTCACAAGTGTGGTGAATGCAAAGAATTCCCATGAGTTCAAGGGAAAGTTGGACAAGCATTTGCAGAGGGAAAATCCAGTGTATCCTGTAATATACACAAGTCATGAAAGGCTCAGGAAATCCCCAAAAGCTGTAGGTCAAGGGAAATTGAAAGAAACGTTATTCACATTTACCCTGTTCTGCTCTTCCCAACATCATTCATGGCCACTAGTGGAAGGCAGAACATGAGGCTGATGGACCCTTAGTCTAAGCAGCAGTCCTGCTCTGTACAAGGCTTTATAGCTTTATTAGGAATTCTCTTAAAAATTCAGTTCCATTTGTCTACCACAGCCATAAAGACCGATGTACAATTTAGTTCTAAATTTATTTTTTGATGCACCAATTAAAGTACAGAAGATTAAATAAAGTCACCAGCACCAATACAATCAGCTCCATACATAAAAGCTCCCAACTTGATCGTCAAGCAGATGACAATTCCACAGTCTGTTTCAAAAGCTGGTTTAAACAAAATGCCTAGAAGTGCCTAGAGAATCTGACCTTTGCAATGAAATATTTATTGGCGCTAATATCCTGCCAGCTAAGGAAAAAGAAGAGTTGATTTGCTGAGGGAAGAAAGCGGTTAGCACCCTTTTGTCTTTGAAAGAAGTGTAGGTTTCTGCTGTAACTTGATATGGATATTCTGCAAAAACTCCACTCAGTGGAATCACAGAAAATTTTAAGAGTTAGTTCATGTGATGCACAAGTTATAAAACCAACATGAGATAAAAGATAAGACTATAAAGCTTTGTAAAAATAAACAACTGTGCCTGAGGCCTGAGTCTACTAGCCTTTGAATATGAATGACAGTAAGAGGCTAACAAAGCAAAGGATCAAATGTGAGAAACAAGAAAGAAAAAAAAAGAAAAAAAGAACGGATAACTTCATGAAATAAAGAGCTGGGGCTGATCTGGAAAATTAGGCCAATAACTTACAACAACATACAAACGGAACATTAAAAGAGAGTTGTCAAGACAAAACATTTGAAATAAAACACAACTGTCAGTAAGGTTAGAACTGACCTCTTTTGATTAAACGAACATGACTCTTCACATTAGAAAGAAATTTATAGAAATCAAGGGCCTGTCAAGAGGGTTCAACTTATATTTTTAGCGGGTGTGGAACATCAACAAGCAGAAATTTATCCTGAACAGGAAGCTTGCCAGAGCACACCAAGCTACTTAAGACCAATGGCTTTTAACTCTCACTCCTGCAAGGTACTAAAAGTTCAAGTGCTGTCAGCTCCTAGCAACACTTGGAAATCCTGATGCTCTGCACATTTTTCATGTAGTCAGGACTACAAGTTGTTCTTCACACTTGTAACACACAATTCTCAAGCAATAAAATACGTTGGTCCAAATGAACCAATCATCCTAAATTTTTGGAAATTTTAACCTGGATAAAAGCAGTAATGTTGGACCTGATCACTGTATTTCTGGGGAAAAACTGCATCCATCTTCAAACTGGCCAGTTTCCAACCTCTTACAATTCAACTGAACTGAGAAAAAGGACCTAATGGTAAAAAAAGGGATAAATAAGCCAACTAGGACGTATTTCTGTTGATAGAAAAATTGAAACTTCTCCAGAGTTTCTAATAAAAATCTAAGAACACAAAATTGTTGTTTATACATAGTAGAAAGGAATCAGGATAAATAAAACCATACTTTATTATCTTACTTATTACCAGTGAAATGCAAAGCCTAGAAGCCTGATAACTTATTGTAATGCCCTAATTTAGTTAATTGTGCTCCTCCTCATTTCTGTTTGAAAGTAAAAGGAATGCTAACGTATGAGTGGAAGAGTTCATTCTCCGCATCAATGAAACTGATTGTCTTTCACCCTGACATTCCTTTTAAATGTATGAAAACCATGTGTGGGTTGAGGCATCATATAACAGCCATTATTTGCACAGATGGCGTACAAAAGGGTTTTTACTTTTGATCTAGAAAGAAGTAGGTCACAACTGCTGACAACAAAACGAGCCATGAGAGGTATCCTGGGAAAGCTTTTAATCTTACCTTAAATTTTTGTTTACATATTTTCAAGGCAATTAGATTTTCCTAGGAAAACAGGCACATCTTCAGTACAAAAAAAAAAAATAAAAATCATCTACCTACCATTTACATTCACACATTCTCCATCTACTTTTAAAGAATACACATATAGTATTATTTTATCAGTAAGGTTACGAAACAAATAAAAAAACCCCCACAAAATCTCTTACCTCTGGACAACTTGATTCTGCATCAAAAGAAACACTGTTAATTTCTCCTGCTTTTTCACAAATGTAGAAAGATTTGTCTTCACATTGTTTAACTTTCCAATGTCCATCCTAAAGGACAGGGAGAGGGAGGGAGAGAAAAGAAAAGAAATATTATATTCTATACATAATCATATTCTCCTGCATATATATATATATATATGTTTGTGTGTCTATAAATATTTATGTATAAAAATACACACACACACACACATGATATTGCACAATTTCTCTTCCTTTTTAATTTTTCAATAAAAGCAAGTAACAGACTAGTTTTTCTTGCTTTATTCCTTTATTCACCCTTATATGGATCACTTATTTTTAACAACACTAATTTGAAAAGTTCTGCTGACAATCATACGAAAGAGGTTTTCTTCTTAAATCACTCCCTTAGATGTAATGCATTTTAATTAACTAAAAGCATGGGCAAGCTTCCTTTCAGAATCACATAACAAACCTTCTTCCTATCTACTGCAGTATTTTATAAAACTAATCTTTATGTCTGAACAGACCTTACTCAAAAAAACTTCAGAGTTTGTACAATATTCTTAGACTTCTATCAGTATTGGACATGTACTGGAAACAATGCTTGAAGCATTATATCTTGAATCTCCTTTTCCACTACTTCCTATTAACTTTTATTTTTTGCTTACATTTGCAAAATTAGTCAAATATGGTTTAGCACACCTGAAACCAGAATTTTACTGAAGACCTATTTTGTGCTTCCAATGGGAGCTGAACTTTCCAGGTCACTGTAGTTGTCTTATCTTTCCCATGAACACTACTGTACCATGAATACCACTGTAACTTGAACTCACTACAAAAGAGACAACAAAAACTTTCTGATACAGCTTCTACACTTGGGTGAAATTTACTTCATTGAAAAACTAGATTATATTGCCCCTTAATCTAAGACAGGTCTTAGAAAATTTAAGTACTGTAAGTTTAAAAGTAAAGTAAGTTTATGACTAAATTAAGAAAACAAAATTGTCAGTGCCGTGAGTTATGTACTGACAGGACGTAATCTAAGCTTACCTGAAAATTACTCCCAATCTTACATCACCTGACTGATTTGGGGTCAGTCTTACTACTGTTAACTTTCATAGTTTTATGCAGGCCAAGACTGCTGTCTGGTTTTGAAAGATGCCTCACAGAAGTTATAAATACTAACAGCAACATGAAATTGACACAGCTGACCATTTTTCAAAATACAAATTTGAAGACTTAAAGACTTGGACTGATGAGTCATAAACTGTTACTTGTTTTTTGTTGCTACTTGGATTTTACATTTATTTGTCTTTATCAAAATACCTACTAATACTGGTTAGCTTCCATTTGGCAAGCTTTATGTATGTAACGTTTTTACTGAATATAAGCTCAAAATTGATGATTAATTTTTCTGTGTATCAGCACTGCAAAGTGTACTGGTTCCTAAAAGCCACGTTGCATTTATCACAATTTGAATATATTAGGAATAGAAAGACTGTCATACAATAGATTGTGATTTACAAAAATATGCATAGTGAGAAAATAATTTGTTATCAACTGAAATAAAAGTGACCATCATGTTCTCTCAACAAGAAAAGGAAACTTACAGGTCCTTGTGCTGAAACACACAGTTGTCCTATTCTTTGGAAGGTAGTAGGTTCTTGGCTGTGCCAGTATGAGAACTTCACTGGGGTGCCATCTGACCACTCAAAAACAACTGAGATGTTACTACTATATAATCCAATCCATGTTTCAGTTACATTTTCTGTAAAAGAATAAAATATATTTTAATGAGGAAGGAAATATGCCCATTGTTCCTGTAATATCAACGCAACTACTAAAATTACTCATCAGATTTCAGTAAGAATTACTCTGATTATGCATTCTTTAGAGAACAGGGACCATCAACTGCTTTTGGGTTTAAGGGTGGTAACATCAATGAAAACTGACCCGGTTTCATGAGGGAAACCACTAACTTCTGCTATAACCACTACCTGCCATTTGCCCAGCGTGGTCCAGTGCAAATGCCACACTGTCAAATGAAGCGCAAGCAGCAATCTTACAGAAGACTGGGTGTGATGCACTCCTGAAACACCAAGGGCATCATACATTTTCTCACCGTGTTCCAATATGTCTATTCATTACTTTATTGTGTTTATTGGAGGAAGTGAAGCTTTACATTTTTAAGACTTCTAGAAGGAGCACATATCACACTTCCCTCTTCTGTTAACAACATTTGGGTGTGTCACATAATGTAGGCTAACAATGTTCTATGGCTGCATGGAAGAGCATCGCAAAACAATTGAAGAAACACTGCACACTTTAACTCCTAAAACTCACCTCGTAGAAGCAAGTTACGGAGCAGCTCTGCATCTGCCATGGAGGATATACTAATGAGCCCGCTGCTGTCACTCTGGCATGAGATCAAAGCATCATTCCAACTCTTCCCCTCTTTATGAAGTCTGTAGCAGTTGCGATTGTACGGGTACCAGCCAGCATCACAATGAGTGGCATAATACTTCCATGTATCTTTTAATTAACCATACAAAGTTAGAGTATATTAGAATATTAAATAGAATTACCAAGGTTGTACTGTGTTTATAATGCATGCAGAACTATTTTCTTAACTTCAAATGCTGAAAACAGAGTCATTCCAAGGAGGACAAAACACACGCTCTGTGGAACATCAGCTACAGAATTTTTCCCACCTTATTTTATGACTCAACCATTTAGGTTGCTAGACTAGTACAAACACTAATAGAACTGTTATTCAGTTTAAAACTTGTTGCATTTCCTTATTACCTTTGGGCCTGATCCAAAACCAGCTGAAACTCTTACAGATAGAATACCTGTAAAGAGTGTGGGTAAGTCCCATTTCATTGTCTAAAACAGGCAGGGAAATTTCTGATTTATCAGGAAAAAGTTGCACTTATCTGGTTTTATAAAAGCAGTGTTTAATATCCTAAGGAACATAATTCTTTGTTTAAGTTTCCCACAGAACGGGAATCTGAGGCATTCTATACACTAGTGTTATATTAATGATTTAAAAAATACACACACAATTCTTTTTCAGTTAAGAAAAGCATGGCATGTCATAAAAATAACAGCAAATTTATGCAACTTTATCCTCTGCAGGCAATTGGTTAAGACCATTCTAAGCTTAACTTTCAGCTTCCATTTTTTAACTTCCATTCTAAGGCTACTTTTAAATTCAAAATTGTGGCTGTATTGAAATACAAAGAGACTGAGCATTTTGTAAGCCTCTGATAGTATAAGGAATCGATTAAACGCTGTGTGTATTGAAATTATGTGTCAGTTTCCAAACTCTCAAGGTGTTGTCCAGGACTGCATTTGAGCAGAAGAAACCGTTACCACTTCAGTTAAGGTAAATGGCATTCAACTTAAACTAGCAAACCCACACGTTTACTGCAACTAACATTCTGTTCTGATGACTTTATATTCAGGTAGCTTCCTTGTGCTCTCTTTCCATCTTCACAAAAAGGACACGGTAACACTGAAAGACTTACCCAGTGTTTCGTGCTCTGTCTTATTTAAATATTTCTTGCATACAAAAGGAAATCCAGATTCACATAAGTAACTTTTCCAGGCATATTTCAATTTTGAACTCATCACTGCACAATGATTTTCACTAGAACGGTCCTCAGAAACATCTGTAAACACATTTTTTTTGAGAAGCACACAATTACAAAAAGCCCATTGTTGTAAAATAGTGCTGTACTCTTATTCTCGTATTGAATGAATGTATAAGCAGCCCTGCACACTCGAACTTCCAGCATTGTTAAACTAATGCTATGGACAGCTTAACATTAACCACCACTTATACATGTGGCAATCTTTCCACCAGTGTTGGGTGCTGCTGTCACATGCGAGGCTGAAACAAGTTGTGGTGTCAACATTACACGTGCTGGAGGACAGACCTCAAAATGCAGCAAGCCAAGTCGCAAAGCTCACCTTAATTGCACATTACCATAAACAAACTAAAACTCCTTGTGACAAGGTAGAACATAGTTATTAAATATGCAGCTGGAATCTCAAAACACCCTTAAAGCAGGAGACAGAAGGCCTAGTTCATTAACACTGAACAGATGCATCTCAGTGGATGCCCCATCCCTAGAAGAAGCTTTAGTTCATGAGCTGAACAAATATTTCAACAGAAAGTTACACAGATTCACTTGTTTCACTTTTCAAATGTAGCTGTAGGAACAGCACTCCCCAGCTGCAGTTACAGAAAGCAACAACGACACAGCTAAAACAAATCCGTACCTGCTCTCCAGTTGACAAATACCAGTGGTGCTCCATCCGACCACTGCCAGCCAGCACCTTCCTCTAGCTGATTCAGGCCTGTCCACAGCACAGTATCTGTGATGTTTAACTGTCCTAGAACAGACAAAGTAGACTCCATACATTCCCCATCTTTAAGTATCTACAGGTATAGATACACTTCTTGCTACAGTAGAAATAAAACAAAATTTCACATTGGTTTCCAGAAAGCTCATGCTATTCTTTCTGTCCTATCACTTTGTTACTCAACACAGAGCTGAGGAGGAATAAACTCAAAGGTCTGCATCCCTTCAAAAGCCGCCCATCCTGTGTAAGCTGTTACTGACCTTAGAAGTTAAATCTGGGACAAACAGCTGCAGAAATGCCAGCCTGACTCGGCTTGTCTTCAAACACAAACCAATTTCCACTCTCTCTGCAGCCTGTATATATATCAAAAAGCTAACAAAATGATTTTTAAAACTTCCTGTCAGCTTACATCCTGCTATTGAAAACCAGCAATAATAGGAAGGAACCTGGAGCCACCTTTCGCAGCACAGTTCAATTGCCTGTTCCTTCACTTAGTCCTCTTTGCTAGCACCGAACCAGCATCAGAAGACTGCCCAGAACCAGCCTGAGACTCATTCCACACAGAGATCTTATCCAAGAGGGAACTCCAATTGATTATAAAAACAACTTTGTCTTTTCTTTCCCCCCACAGAGATAGATTTACTTCCAGGCTACCAAACTAAACAGCCAGCCAGTCCCATCTGCGCACCCTAAGCACGCACCCACACCTAGCACTAGCAGCACACAGGGCCTACTCACGGCTCAAGTCGCTGATGTAGCTCTGCTCCTCAGGGCTAGTGATGCTGAGCAGGTCTCCTCCCTGTGCCTGGCAGGCTGCCCGTGCCTCATGCCATGACAGCACGGCTGATGGGTTGAACTGGTAGCACACATGTGTGACCGGGTTCTCCTTCCAAAACGTGCCGCAGCCACGCTCTGCTAAGAAACAGGCTCATCACCCATAGCAACAAGACTATAAGAAGTATGGCGCTGTCAGCAATTTACTTAATTAATGACAGTAGCATCACAACAGAAGCATGACAGTCAACCCCTCCAGTATCCCTTTGTAACATGCAGTACATGCAGAAGAAGGGGGGCATTAACTGAATAAAATACCACTCCATTGCCCAGGTGGCTGACAAATCCTTGGGAGCTGCTCTGCAGCTGGTGGCAATTTTCACAACTCCCATGATGCCAGCAGAGCCACATTTTAATTCACACCAGCTGATCCTTGCTTCCTTGAGCTGACATGCAATAAACAATGAGTGCCTCACCCAACTTGTGATGAAGCAGTTTCCTTCTATCTGGTACTCAAGAGATTAAAGCTACTATAATTACAAAACATAAGCAGGTCTGAAAATACCCTCTGATTCAACAATTCCCTGGAAATTCCCATTATAAAATCACATTTCCAGATGTTTACAGCATGCTTTAGAACAGAGATCTGAGACAAAGGCTGACCTGGAAGGGCTTTTCCAAACCACTCTATTGACAGAAGATAATATTTTGCTTATTTATGAAATAATCTACAAGCTGCTATGCGTAATATTTAATATTCATGAACACTACACATCCAAAATTTTTCATACAGCAAATATCTTCAAAAATCTTCTTCCAAGTGTTTTAGGCCCCAAAATGTAAGTATCCATAGAGTGCATCGATTAACAGGAAGGTAAAAGATGTGATGCGGTCAAAAGCAGAATGTCCTTTTGCAGGAGCAATCCTTCCTTTGCATAGTGATGTTGGAGAGAAATGCGGCACAGCAGCAGGGCACAGCCAGTGGACAGCACAAAGCAGTGAGCATCTGACATCTTTTTGCTTTCCCCTGGAACTGTGCTTCTGGGACAAGGACTTGGGTCTCCAAAGGCCAAACAAAGCAAATCATGATAGTCTGCTACAGTCTCCTCTTTGTTTTTTAAAGAGACATTCATTCCCCCCTAACAGAAAGGAAGGAACCTTGTAATCCACAAAAAAGCATGTCCTACATTTATTAAAACAGATCACAAATACTACAGGAGTAAAAAAAATATAAAAATAAAAATAAAAAAATTAAAGTGAAAACAAGCAATGCCTTACCAGCACCAGGACAAAACCCCCATTTTTCATCTTGTTCATAATGACTTGTTGTGGCACACCACTCAAATTCCTTTCCATCTCTGGTACATTCATAATACCACTTGTTGTTATACTTAAATGGAAAAACACATGGGAAACCGAAGGAATTTCCCAGCAAGGTATATGTTTCTGTAATAAATGAAATGTATAGATTAAAATAACACATCCACAGAAATGTCTTCTCTCCCGTTCTTCATTATTTCTGTTTATAACAGCAATAATTAAATGTAAATATCTTAGGTTATTTTCTAATTTGAATTTATAAACGATACCACAACATTATTACAAGTATGGGCAGCATAACTTCGGTAAGCAGAATTTGGAAATGTTAAGTTGATTAAATTTATCACCATGAAACAGAGCACATTCTCATAACTTACTGCAATTAAAGAAAACAACAACAAAAACAGAGCAATTATCATATAAAATCTGCATTTAAATGTGTAGATACCATAATCTGGACATGCTTGGATGCAACCTCTGTTCGTTTTTTATTTCCTAGTATATGACAGATAAACAATCTAGTATAATTTCCCCTGCTTCTCCCACTCTTACTTAAATGGATTTCTAATGTTTTCTCCATTCTTATTGTCATCCTATGGGAAAGAAAATCTGAAAGACAAAGGAATATTAAATAAACCATTTAAAATAAATCATTATACCAGGGAGAAAGATAACCTAACTAAAGCACTAATCTTATCCACTTTTGTTGTCACATCAATTAATGCCTTATAAACTATTTTAAACATTGCCCTACTGCATTTTTAGTACTGAGAGAATCAAGTGCAACTGCAAGCTGTAACAGCATTACCTCTGTATCTCCTTAACCCCAGAGCATGTGCTTCTAGGAAAGGTCAAAAGACCACAGCCACACTTGGAACAAAATTGTTTGCCAAAGATTCCATGCTGATATGCTAAAGATCGAAGTCCTCTGACTACAGAGGATGGACACGCTCCCAGCTTCCCAGAGGTTTCCAGAGTTAATGGCTGGCTGCACACACATGAAAAATGCAGTTTATGGATTGTAAATCTCCTTCAAAGCCTTCTGATATAACAGATGATACAAAGAAAATGGATTACAAGAAACGAGGCTTGCACCTCTGCCTGCTATCACTCTGCTAACTGCAAGAAATTATCTCCTTCCTGGCAAGAAAGTAAATTTGCCAGCTCCAGTCCTTTCACCATAGTTAATGCATCGTGTTTTGAAGGCAGGAATCACCTCAGCCTGGTGGACTAACAGGCTGCCTTGTACTTATCTGTATCTGCTGAAATGGAAGGAAGAAAACAGAAAATGGAAGTGAGAGAGGCTTTGCCAAGGCTCTCCTTTATCTTGATCCTGAAACTCTTGGATGTTGCAGACCTAGGACTAGACCAGATCTACTTCCATCTTGCTGAGTGTACATAGCAAATGTGTAGGACTCTTTATGGTTTCAAACGTTTTCTATCTGATCTTAAGCATAGACTCTGTTAGGTTTTAGAGAAGAAGTTGGATGCTACCATGCTTCCGTAGGTATCACAGCTCCCAAAGGAGCTGCCTGGCAGGGATCAGCAGCCAAGCCCAGCTGCACCTGAAGGGGAAACTAATGAGACCCAGAGCTCCACAGTCCCAAAGCCATGTTCAAGTGCTAAATATCAACAGCTCCAGTCTGAGACATGCTGTGCAAACACTAGGTCATTCTTCTGAAGAAATGCTGTAGGAGAAGTTGAGGAAGGGGCCAGAGTGTGCCAGTCTGAGGCAGTTCATGGAAAATGAGCTTATCTTAGTCCTTGTTCCTGGAACAGTGCTAAGGTCTGCAGGTCTGGATCCTGACTTACAGTTCTGTGCCTTCACTAGCTGTACAAGATGATTCATCACAAGCCTGATTTCTGTTGCAGAGTTTGACATGTTCAGAGTCCAGGTGCTGAGTGTCGCAAACCTTTGATTAATGCACACTGCAACCGCAGTTTGGAATCTCTCTTTGGGTTTAATTGATAATGAGAGCTAACGAACAGAAAATCCTTAGTTTAGCTTGAGCATCTGAAATAGGTGTTTCCTGGTTTGCAAAGGTATGAGTGCTTTGGGGAGGACTGGGAGGAACCATGTCATAGAAGAGGAGAAAAATTAATTCAATACAATATTGCATATTAACACAATGTTCCTTCAGAATTACTTCTGAAAATTTTCCTGTACACATTTATATGATGATATTTTATTTTTACCTTGGAAAGGATGTTCACAAATGTCTTCATCGTAGGACATGTACTGGATCCACTGATGATTAGATTTTTTTTTTGCTATAATATGTTTGCTGTTTTCAACAGCTAATTTGTACTCTGATACACCAACCAGTGCTCTGCCATCACAATTCCACCACAGTGAGTACTGATTTGAATCACATTCAAGCATAGTCAATGGCTGTTCTGGTCTACTGATGTTCAGTCCTAGACAGGTACTTCTGCCTATGTTGAAAAGACGACGATTGGATACCCATTTCCACAGCATGTTTTTGGAGAGCTGACTGCAGTCTTCCAGAACCAGGCCATCTGTGTCCACTTTGATACACAAGTTAGAGTCTGAACTTTGGATAATAAATATCCCTTTATCTGTACAGGGGAAAAAAAAAAAAAAAAAAAAAAAAGGCAAAAATATCTCAGTCTGTAGAATGCTGCAGATGATCAAACAGTACTGGAAGACAAATCCTTATATTATTTATGAAGAAAGCAGAAAATATCCACCAGAATGACCAACACTTCAAAAAAATAACAATACTGATCTAAATTTACTGCCATTTACAAATATGTGGACCATTTGCTGGATCACAAGTGTGGGGTTAGGACAATATATCTCAAGTTGGTCATCTGAAAATACATGGTTCTTAAAACATCAGTCACATTTGAGGAATTAAAATGCCATTTGCCAAGGAACAGCCCGTAATGCAGCATGGGTTTAAGTATCACAGTAAGTCATGCTGTGAGCTGCAAAATAGTTCTCTGTGGTGGACTTGAGATTCCAATTAAGGTAAAGGTTAAAAAATTTAAGTATAAATTGCTGTGCTAATTCCTCACTGTTTGCAACAACAGAGGCATAAAACATATGCTGCATTGTAAATGTGATATAGAAAAGGCAGGATTTATCTCAATCACAACAGCCCGTGCATGTTGTTCATCTGCACGTGACCGCTTGGGACCACAGCACACAGTCAGGGTTAGCCTGACATCTCAGCTTTCTTGGAATCAAACAGAAACTCACTGAACTCGGTGACATCATGTTGTAAGCATGTGAAGAGTCAGCTATTTAAGGTCTTCTGAAGAAATGCCTAGCTGAGCATATAGACTGAAAAGGAGAAGAACTGAGGAACTGGAAATCAGCAAAATACAACTCTGTAACAGGTCAGCGATTTGATTCGTACTGAAATCCAATGACAGTTAACTCATGGAGTTCCTCTCCCATTACAGGAGAGATTTTGTGCTTCGGAAGGTTATGCCTTGAAAATCTGAGTAGCATTTCCATTTTGCCATGAAATTTTGCAATAATTATTTCTACCATATGTGCTTTCAATCTATAATTTACTACCCCTAATGTCCTGAAGCAGTAATAACAACAAAAGATATTCCACATCTAGAGCATGAGAAGAAGAAGCCCACCCAGATGCTGTGCCTGGTTTCAGCCCCTATAGTTTGGGTGCAGCTCACCAAAAGAAAGGCCTCAGCCAGCAGCAGGACAGTGCAGTATGACAGACAGAAGAGATCTCACCAGCATACAGTACATGCAACAAGCAGGATATAGGTTACAGCTCGGTGTTTGGTTGCGGATTCTGCACAGAGCTCATGAGCACTCAGACATACAGAGAGGACAGGTCATTCTGCCAGCTGTGTCACTGATATCAGTGACACTGTGACATATACCCAAGGTATGCCTTTGCTTTTGTGTTTTCAGTGACATTGTACAGATTGTGCTTCATACTTCTTGTCCAACCCAATCCTCCACAGGCCACGCAGGTGACACAGCCTCTAACCACAAACACAGAAAACAACATCAGATAGGGGTACTGTTTCTCATGATGAGTTCCTACAGCAGCCTTATTTTCACCAGCCAAGAAAATGACACTGTTAATTTGCCAGGTAAGTGAAAGTCGTTAACACCAGTAAACACTGATCAGTGAGGTTAACTCATCATGATACTGGAATTCACATATAAAAAAAGATCTTATACGAATTCCCATGTAACAGCAGCCTGAGTGTGTGAGGAACAACAACAACAAACAATCCAAAGATGAAAAGTCTACAACTGAAGTGATCCAAGACAGCTAGTGTGGCTTCAACAAGAGCAGATTGTATCTAACCAATTTGGTGGCCTCCCATAATGGAGTGACAGCATCAGATGACAAAAGAAAACCAGCTGATGTCATTTATTCATATTTCTGTAAGGTCTCTGACATGGTTCCACACCACAACCTAATCTCTAAATTGGAGAGAGGTAGATTTGAAGGTTGGTGGCCTACTTAGCATATAAGGAGCTGGCCGGACAGCTGCAGCCAGAGAGCTGTGGTCAACAGTTCTATGTCCAGGTGGAGGCCACTGACAAGTGGTGCCCACTGGGGGTCTATTTTGGGACCAGTGCTCTTCAACTTCATTACCAATTGTATACACACTGGGATCAGCTACATCCTCAGCAAGTTTGCTGATTATACCAAGCTGAGTGGTGCAGTTGATACAACAGAAGGAAGGGGTGTCATCTGGAAGGACTTGGACAAGTTGAAAAGTGTGCTTATGTGAACCTAATGAGGTTCAGCAATGCTAAGTGCAGGGTGTTGCACTGGAGTCTGGACAATCCCAGATATGTGCACGGACTGGTAGAAGAATTCATTGAGAGCAGCCCTGCAGAGGACTTGGGTGTCCTGGTGGACAAAAAGCTGGACAAGAGCCAGCAATGTTCTCTCACAGCTCTGAAAGCCAACAGTAGCCTGGGCTGCATCAACAGAGGGCTGGCAGCAGGGCAAGGGAGGTGATCGCCCCTCTCTGCTCTGCTCTCATGAGTCCCACCTGTGGTACTGCAGCCAGACCTGGGACCCCAGGATAAGAGACACAGATCTGCTCAGGCAGGTCCAGAGGAGGGCCATGAAGATGATCGGAAGGCTGGAGTACCTCCTCCTATGAAGAGGAGGGAAGGCTGAGGGAGCAGGGCTTGATCAGTTTGGAGAAGTGAAGGCTCTGGGGAAAACTCACTGCAGTCTTCCAGTACTGAGGGGAGCTTTTGAACAGGAGAGAAAACAACTTTTTCAACAATCGTATGGTGATAGAACAAAGGGAGAGGGGAACAAAAAGAATGGTGCTTTAGGTTAGATGTTAGGAGGGAATTTACTCAGAGTGTGGCGAGGCACTGGCGCAGGTGGCACCAAGAAGCTGCAGATGCTCCATCCCTGGGAGCACTCAAGGCCAGGCTGGATGGGGCCCTGGACAGCCTGATCTGCTGGGTTGCAACAAGCCCATGGCAGGGGTAGTTTGAAGTGAATGTTCGCTGAGGTCCCTTACAACTGAAAGCATTCTATGATTCTATGACAATTTGAGAACCCTCAAGAAAACATCTGCATGCCCTTATCGGCAAGATTCTCAAGAGCTGCAGTGGCTGCTGACAGAAGATAAATTTTATACAGACCTCACAAAAAAACCCAACTGAAGAACAGCAAGGAGACAACTGGAGCAACCCTGTGGCTAGGGACCAGGAGGTGAGGTTGCAACACCCATAGGGCCCAAGGAGAGAATCCTGCACTTCAGCACATGACATTTCCCTTTGGAAACAACTTCTTCCTACAATCCATATGAAGACCAGGTGACAGCACACAAGTGCTGTGTGCCAGAATCTGTGAACACTGAGCTGGGAGCTGAGCATGCATCTCCAAGTTCCAGGTACTTGTGTTTGCTACCACGAATAATACATAATAGAGCTAGGATCACAAGTTATCTCCGCTTCCTTCCTCCTCACCTCCCACATCCTTCCACCCCAAAAAGCAGAGAGAATTGCTGGTGTGGCAATAAGGAAAACAAGGGGAATTTATTGGGAGTGCGGAAAACGGTAACCGCGTGAGCTTCTGGACCAGGTGCAGGGAAACCAGCGAGCAGCGGCACCGCTGCCGAGCACCGGGCGGCACGGCACGGCACGGCACGGCACGGGGCCCCCTCGGCCCCTCTCCCTGCCGAACCCCCGCGGCTAGACCCGTAGGACCCCACGCAGAAAACCTGGCCGCCCCCACTCCCGAGCAGTGACGCGCACCCCACGCACGGCCGCTGGCCGGAGAAGCGGCCGCCCCTCCCGAAGTGTCGCCCCGTGGCCGTCACTCACTCCGAAGGGAGGGCAGCTCGTCTCGGTCGAGGGCGGCGTCGCCCCGCGACAGGCTGCGGCCGCCCAGCAGCAGGCAGCACGCCAGGAGAAGCACGCCCAGCATCGCCGAGGCTTGGTCACAGCACGGCTCGGCTCGACTCGGCCCGGCCCGGTGCGGCGCGACGCTCAGCCGCTCCACTCCGCGCCGGGCGACCGGCCCCGCAGAGCCCTGCCCCGGGGAGGGCAGAGCAGCGATCCCACCCCGCGGAAGGCGGGAGAGGTGCGGGGCGGGGGTGCGTGGAGGGGCCGCGGGGCACTGCCGCCTCGGGTCGCTGGGGCCTGCTCGGGGGGGGAGAGGGAGGGACGGCCGAGAGCACCGGGTCTGCACGGGCAGAGACGCGCGTGTCCCTCTTGCAGGCTGTCAGAGCGTTCGCTCCCCGCGCTCCAGTTCACTTATACTTGAGGGAGCCATGTGGCACCAGGACACTGGGAAGAGAAACTGCTGAGAGCACAGTTTGCCTTCATCAGCGCGCCGCTCTGCTGCAGCACATCTCCATGGATGCAAAATTTACTCAGGCTTGGTTTCAGCTTGGCCAGCTTGTCAACTCAAGGCATTTTTGACGTGGGGAAAAGTAATTTCCTAATTCCATTTTCTACATAGCCGTCCTTGAGTGGAACGCTCTCGGGAACTCCCCTACTTCAGGAAAGGTTCAGTCTTACAGAAACTATGAGCAGTGGGGGAAAGGCGAAAGCAGAAGCTCAGGGCTGAAGATGGCTTTACTGGAATCTGCTCACAACTCAGCTGTCATCAGCACAGGCTGGTTTCTGCGTGGTTCTGCATTCACAGTAGACAAATTGGTATAGAAACATATACATTGATGTGTAAGCACAAACATACCCTGCTGGGACACCTGCATCTCCCATGGCCTCGGTCCCTTCATGCTCACCTCAGTCACGGTGTGGGACTCCAACCTCTGGGTTTGGGTGGTGTGTGAGAAGGAGCTGAGCAACTCAAAGCAGCTCGAGGGCAGGAGGGTTTGCTCCCCATGTAACAGGTATCCTGCCTTCAGAAGGCAGGAGGCTGCCAGCCCTCAGCTGCTGCAATGGGCCTCTGAGAAGCAGCAGCTTTCAGAGGAGCTCAAATTTTAGGAGAGAAGCTCATTAGCAAGCAGGTTTTGAGAATTTGGCCCCTCTGGCCTGTCTCAGTCTCTTCAGGAGTATTTGGTGACTGCTTTGAATCCAGAGCTTCAAGCAGGCTTACAGGCTCCAGAACACACAGCAGATTTACTTTCCTGCCTGTGAAGGCAGAGGTGCCACTGGGCAAAACCAGGGCTGCTCTGGGCTATGGGAGCACCAGCACAGAGGGATTTTTCTACCTAGACCAAATATATTTGTGTTAATGACAAATTAGCAGCTTGCTCATTCTGAGCAGCTTTACTTCCTTTTTTCTTTTTCTTCATTTTTCAGGTTTTTCTTCCTGGAAAAAAAAAACAAACAAACAAACAAACAAACAAACCTGTACCATCTAGGAACTGTTCTGTTCTTACTAAACCAGTAAATTCCTACTAGAGCAGCTGCTGCAGTTGCACTGCTCAGGGTATTTCTAGCTGAGCTATTCTGTGTTACAGTAATAAAAGATCATTGTGGGCATACGGGTTTGCAAAACCAACATGATGATCTGTTTTTTGAAGATCCTTAATTTGAACAGCTATTTTTCCTCATTTGATATATTCTCAGGATTCATTTCTCTTGCACTTTTAACACTGTGGGGATTTTATATTTTTTTCTTCTGTTTGGTTTGAGTTCTTTGTTGTTTGTTTTTTTGTTTGTTTGTTTGTTTTTTGGTTGTTTTGTTTTTTACATGCATCTTTTTTTTCAAATTTACCATAGCCTAAAATAGAAGCCACTGAGAGTTTGTTACATGGTAATTATATTATAATTATAGGTTTGATTTTTAATTTAGTTTTGGAGGAAGTATGCCTTAACCTCTCACTTAAGAGGACCAACAGCAACTAGAATTTTGAAGCCTGAAGTTTTCCAAACATGGTTAACTTCCAACTACTGAACACTGAATAGAAATTTCCTGTTTCTTCATGCCTAAGGAGCTTGTTTTTATTTATACTCCTACCTCATCTAAATGTGGAAGCAGTAATGAAAAAGCCACTGTTGAGTGAAGTTAGCCTATGGAAAAATAACATTTAAAAATATATATAATAACTTGAGAACTTTATCTATCTAAATACAAGAATGTCTTGAAACTATTATATATTATGATTAAAAAAGAAGGCTACTCTGCAGTGTGAGTAATAGGAGCAGGAAGAGGTTGCAGTGAAAATCAGCTTTTGGTCCTCTCTGCTGTTTACACAGTGATAGGCAGAACAAAGTGCCTGAATTAGAAACAAAGAAACAAGTTTCTACCAGCATCTTCTAATAGCCAAACCGTTGTCATTTAGCCTTCCAGTGTGTAATTGTTGTGCTTTTGTGGCTGTCAGTGTTAGCTGATAAGTACCTCAGTGAAAACAGAAGAAAAGTTTCAAAGCATGAATGATTTCTAGGAACCAAACAAAATAAAAATGTATATAAGCCTTCAGGGTATGATGCCTTCTAAACTATATCCCACAAGTATACATTATGCAATTGTATCGATGTCAATAGATACAATGCACTGTGAAATTCAGAAGAACGTGATCTTAATGTGTGTCTGTAGAATACAATAGGTTTTAAAATACAGCTCTATCAAAGATGCAGAGGAATGCCCTCCACCCAGAGCAGGAAACTAGCAGACATCAAAATAAATCACTCCTCATTAGAGATTTAAAAAAAAAAAAAAAAAGGGAAGAAAAAGAGAGAAGGAGAGGTAACATTCGTACAGAACAGAAATTATTCACTTTGCCATGTGGTTCCAAAGATACTACTGTTATTACACTTAAAAAGTTAATGAATCTTCAGCTTTAAACAAGTTGTGTGCTTTAGGTGTCATTGTATGTAAAGAATGCCATATGTAATCAATTGGACTTCCAGAAATGAGTTGCTTACGTGATTCACCCATTAACTCGCTTCCTTGAAAAGTGAAAGAATCACAGATAAAAGAATGTCCTGACATCTTCTTTCTCATATAGCATCTCAAGAAAGGTGGAGGAGGATTTATAAAATTAGCTGCTACAGCATACCAAAACATGAGAAATTTGCTGAGTTTAATCAAATCATGTGAAGAAAAACAAACAAACAGACAGACGTGATGACATGGAAAATGAAAAAAGAATTAAACAAAAAGTGTATTAAAATATGCATTCAATATTACAATCTTTATTGAAGGTTCAGTAATCCTTCTTTTACAGAAAGTTGAGGTATTTACCTGTTTCTTGCAAACAGACCAAGATAAGAATTATCTCCTTTTTACTTTCAGATTGTGCGTGCTATGTTTTGTCAGACAGTAACTTCCTTATGGCCACTGCAAAAGAAACTTGGACTGCTGCAGGATGGTGGACAACACAGAGTGTACCACATGCTAACACCTCACACTTGTATGCCAGGCTCATTACCCACTGGCTATAATTATAGACCAAGGTTAAATGCAGTCTAGGCGGATACAACACAGATTAACATATAAATCAAATGAAAAATCATCAATTCAATACACATTAATGAAAATACCATTCTACAAGATGTAAAAGACACACAAATACCATAAAATTGCTAATGATTTTTATTATTATTATTATTATTGTTATTATTTTGTTTAAGTCTTCAGTTAATAAAATTCCTATTAAAAATGTTTTGGCCACTCTCAAGGTCCAGCCCCCAGGTCAAAACTGTATTTGTAAAAACAGCAGAAAGACTTTTTCATCCCACTCACCACACACCAACCCACTGGTAATTTGGTGGAGTTAAAAAGGAGAAAAAGAAAAGTGAACTTTTATACACATACTACAAGATGAAAGTAATATAATTAATAAAAAGACATGAACACCACTATATTTCTACAGTGAATGCCAATTACAATCTTGAGATCCTGTTATGTTTGTGGGGATTTTTTTGTTTTGCCTTTTTTTTTTTTTTTTTTTTTTTTTTTTTTTAAATGTATGATCTAACTTAACGCTGTTAAAAGCTTGGTTCATTCCTCAGTAGCAGAGGGCTTTCTCACCAAGCCATTCTATTTACTCTCTTCTAATTGTAGTTATTTTCTTCCTGACAGCTTTGAAAGTGGCACAGCACATTTGTACTACTCTTGGTCACAGCAGGGAAACTGCAGAAGACGCTGCCCAATTTCTGTATAATTTGCAGAGACATTGCTAGGAGGTTTAGCTGGAGTATAAATGTTGTCTCCCTCCCAAATTGGATCTTTGCTGACAATCAGAAGATGTAAGAGATGTGAACAGACTGCAGAGTTTAGAGAAATGAAATCTCTTATAGAAACACAGAATGCAGACCAACGGACATTTTGTGTGGAATGTGAACACTACTTTGATAACAGTGTTTGAATATGGAAAAGTAGTTCAGTGTTGAAATGGGTGACCTACAGAAGAAGAGCTTTCAACACTCACACTGAGCTGCAGAATGAACTTTATCAGAAACAGAACTTAAAAGATATTCAATAAACAGTGAAGATTTTGTTATACTTAAAAAGTAAAAACAACAACAACAACAACAAAATACTAGGTCATTTCTTTCAGAAAAATATTGACATTCAATATCTTTACTTAAAAAACAGAAGAGTAACAGATTATTCACATGGGCTAAATCTGGATTTCCCTATTCCTTTGGGCAATCCTGGCCCAAGTAGAATCTGAGACAGCCCAGGGGCCAGCTTTGCCTTCAGGGGTTTATCTGTGTATCAGGGAAGCAGTATTTAGCAACTTGCACTAATATCTTTGGCAGTTTAGTGTTTGGAAACAGGAGATAGTAAGGGAAAACAGAGGTAATAAGCAGAAAACAAGGGAAAATTTGTCTATGTACATTTTCATTTTGAGATACACAAGAGTACTGAAGAATAAAGATGTAATCTGTAATTAATCTGTTCCAGTTTAATGACAGTCATCATTCCCTTCATACTGCAATCATTTTGTATTTCTTATGTGCTCATCACAGCACCTTCTTCCCAAAGGCATCAGATACTGTTTATTTCTCTACGCACAGAAACATAGGTTCCATAAGTTCTAACCCACTAATAGACAGTATTAACTGGTTTGTTTAAACTAAACAATCATTGTAAACCAAAACTAATAGTTTCACTGAAACTAGATCCTCATCTGTAGCCACTGATTCCAATAGGATTTGGATCAGGCCCTAAAACAGGCATGATAGTATCAGTCTCACATCCAGTGGTTGTAGATGATACAGAGACTGAAGTTGCACAGACTTTGTAAGTATTCATTACAAAATGGACAACAAGTTTTTAGATCAAATGCATAATTTACCACAGGGAATGTACATCACCATCTGTGACTGTGCCAGTGTATCTTTGTTTTCTAAGTCTTCTGAGTACGTACATTTTGACCATCTATTCTAGAGCATTTAAAAAATGATATTAAAAAGTAAACTACACTATTGTTAGCCTAAAATAGCCCAGAACTGTAACTTTTTAATCCATTGGGTTAGCTGATGTTGTTGAGGCTTCTTTTCTTGATGCCAAGATACCAGCATTACAGTTTAAGAAGTTATGGTGAGTCATTAGTACCAAGTTAAAAGTGAGATTTAAAAATCCTCAGTAGTGGCATGGAAATTAATAGCAGGTGGAATTCACTGATCTATCTATTGCTTAGTTTGAAAAAAAAGCCCCAAAGAGTAGAATATATATTATTTCACACATCAATACATGGTTTGGCTGCTGGGCATTGAAAGAACCTCTCTGTTTAGGGTTTCTCAACAAAAAACTACTGTCTTTGTGATACAAAGCCTTTGTGCTTCAGCTTTCCATGCATTTAAAGAGCCCATGCAGGAGTTCATGTAATAGTCTAGCATGAGAAGTTTATTTTGAGTGCCTAATCAGGAAGTGAATGGTAAAAATCCTCTGATCTAAAACTTCTCTATTGCTGTCTCTAATTTGCAAATATTTCTCTTTTGCTATTGATCCTCTATACTGAAACTTAAAGGAAAGAGGGTGAAAGTCTCTCATACCTAGACAGAGAGCATTTATGTGAGTCAATTAGGGCTTGATTTAGCTTTCCCTGAGATAATCTTAGGGGTTTGATTCTTAAACCACATCAAACAGAATCAATTCAAGGTCAAGGAAAGAGGGAAGTAGGAGAAAAAGGAAGAACTTCAGAGGAGTATTTTTATATACCTTAGATACATGGAAGTTATGCCGTAACACACATCATTTGTTTCTGATGAAAACCTGTTCAGTTACAGAGTCAATATGAGAAACCACTGACCTCCACAGTTTAAGCAGCATTTATGAAAAATTTACCTTGTTAAATGTAAGCCAGCCCACCAAACGGACTGGTATAAATACATTCCTAAACACAAACATATCAGATTCAGTGGATGAACAAAGTCATATATAGCTCAGTATTAATGAGCTAATTTAAAATATTAGGTGATACCATTTTTTTCTGAGATGGAAGTTGCTTAATATTAAAGTTTGTAAAAAATATATTTCTTTAACCTTTACTACTATTATTATCTATAGCTCTCCCACCAGAAGATACATTTTATCTAACAGAATGATTACACTGCAGTGTGCAAACGAAGATTGCACATAATCAACTAAGAAGAGACAAAAATTAGTGTTTTATATTTCTCAACAGTAAAACTAAGTTTGTAGGGTTCAAAGTGCTAATAGAAATCTGCAGCCATGGCCCCTTTTTGCTTTTCTTGGTTCTTGTAAGTTACATTTTTGAAAGTGCTTGTTGAACCTCTGTACAGTGGGTTTGTTTCCTAAAAAAAGAAAAGGAAAAAAAAAAATAAAAGAAAAGAAAATCATTCAGAGTTTAACTGTCTTTGGCTGCAAGCTTGTGTTGTTGCAAACCACCATCTTTAATTTTGCGAGAGCAGAGAGGATGCCTTTCTTGTGCAGGTTTCTCTGTTTTGTATCTATGCAAAATTTTATCATCTGAAATACCTTTGGAAATAAATGGTGTGGCCTCAAAAAGGCATTGTATAACAATGTCTTTTGTTTCTCTGAAGCCTGCTATCTTATCGTTTTTGTGTAGTGGAAAAACATCCTACATTCAATGCCCCATTATAGTATCACATCCTCCTCCCACTGTTACTTCCCCATTGCAAAGTGTTCTGGTCTTTCTTTGTACAGAAGTTATTTTGTACTTTTCATCATTTCAGTATAGACTTTATTGGTGTTCTGATATTCCAAGCCACTAAAAATGAGCCCACCCTAAGGCAGTGGAAGTCAGCGTATGGGCACGAAGGCCCTCGTCTGCTTCCCAGATTAAAGTAATGCATACACTCAAACAATGCCTTACCAAATAGATCTGATCTTTGCGTACTAAACATGACTCAACCATTCTAAAAACACAAAGAATACACAAACATTGAGAAAACAGCTGTGAGATGGAAGGTGCAACTTGTCACAGCCTTCTTGTGTGAGCCACGCCAGCTACTGCATGTTGGGAGAAGGGCAAGTCCCACCTGGGCTCCTTCTACTGGCTTCTCACCATTCTCTTTGTATCATCTCCTTCTGTGTCAGAAAATGAAATATTTCTGTCTACTGTTGCCTTCCCTTTCCTCTTACCCCGACCCTCCTAAAGGATTAGGAAAACGTTCTCAAGAGGCCTTGCCTGTAACAAACTAATTTTTCTTGTCAAAGAAACTGAAAGGCAGGCAGTGTCCCTTCTTGCAGAAATGTTGCAATCCTTGGTTTTGTAGAGGAGTGCAACAAAGTAAACTGTAGCTTATTGCATGTCCTCCTGGCACCATCAGAAATGCTTACTCAACATCTTTTTTTTTTTTTTTTTTCTTCAGAAAGTCTGAAAAGTTGTAGAAATATTACTGAAGAACAAGAAAGCCAAGGACAAAGGGGAAATAGGAAAAAGGAACATGGCACTTGCATTAGACCTATGCAAGCTATAGATAGAAGCCAAGGGTAGATCATTCTGTCCTTTATATACATTTTGGGCAGTGTACACTGCTGTGTAAGCTGTTACAGAGGGCACTGGTAACCTCTCTTTTGTACAGCAGGCTTTGCTTCTGAGAGGCATGCTTCTCACAATTGCATAGACAGTGACCAACTATGCTCAGATTAATCAAAAGTGAGGTACTAATTAAACAAAGAAACAAAGAAACAAACAAAAAATGAACCAACTAATAAAATGTTATCTCCTCAACTTACACATGGAAGAAATTAAACCAGGAGATAGAACTCTGGCTATTTTTCATCTCTAAATTAAAAGTAATGAAAATCTACCAGTAAAATCAATCCATTTAAAAGAATGCAACCAAGATTTTTAAGGGCACTTGTGCCTCATGAAACAAAAATGAAGAGCCTTGTGTAAAATTGGTACATTTAACATACCGTTTGCCACTTAACTTTTGATTTTTCTGCTTCAAACTTGGCCACTTCTTTTCGATCTTGAACTGACACCATCAATTTCCATATACAAAGTAACACAATGCCTATCAGAAGGATAGCAAGGGTGACGCCCACCATTATCATTGGGATATTTGGAAGCTCTGGGCAATCTGTGGAAAGACAAACAGTTATGAGTGTGGATATCCAAACAATAAGTTTTAGGCAATTAAAGACAGCCAAAAAGCATTCTGTTCTCATTTGCTGGAAACTGAGCATGTCTTTTCTTTCAAGTCCACATTATTTTATTCTTATCAGCTTGCTAAATAGCTGAAAAATATTGCCTTGAAATGTAAAAAAAAATTTCTTGCTAACTACTTCCACTGATATTTTGGCACGTTTAGCTGTCGTATCTGAATGCAGACTCAGATTTTGAGGAGGAAAGTTAGAACATTGTTTTCAAATTTATGTCATCATAATTCTAAAAAACAGGACTATTTTGACAAAATCATGAATTTTTAAACATACAGCTGAAGTTTTACTTCATCTGACTCATATTCAGACTGTCGTAGAGGAAACAGTCTCAGGTATATATGTATTAGCGTAAAGGTACCAGTGATACTGAGAAAAAGGAGGAAACTGCATTTCAGTCACGAAAACAAGGAGGAAAAACATCAGATTTGCTGAAAAGCAAAAAGTACAGAACTTCACTAAATTCTGTTGAATCTCACAGCAGCTAAGCAGAAGTCTTGAACTACCGTGTTCAGAAGCACATGGTTCTACTGCATCTGAAATGCTTAGTTCATCTGTGACAGTCTTGTAGAAATTCAGTGTCAAAGTAACAGTAGGGTAAAAGAACTTTGTTCTGTAACACTGCCAGAGTGACATGTTCAGTTCTTCAGTTTGAAGGAATTTCACATTTCAAGTTTTCCAGTAAGTTTTATCGTACAGCATTCCAAAGGAAAAAAGTTAATTAAAATAGCACATAGGAAGACTGTCATCTGCTTCAGTGATGCAGAGGGAGGCTGGAGGGAGTTGTGTTCACCTAGCTGAAGAGGTGAAGTATTTCACTACCGGCGACTTGAATTTGATGAGTTGTGTTAGAATGGGTGCCAAACAAAGTACTGAATAGGTAAATACGGTTTTAAACAGGAAGCATGATTTCAAACAAAGATACCAAACAAAGATAGCCTGAGTTAGGCTTCTGAATACCACAGATGACAAGGGGCAAAGAGGGAGCTAGACTAAACGTAAAAAGAAAGTAGTGAATGGATTTCATAAAGACAAAATCTTTCAGTAGCTTACCCTTATTTATTAGAAGTATAGTTTACAAATGAATGTGTTTCGGTGATTTAAATGTTTGTTATAACTTCTTTTCTTCAATCATAACCTATATAAAACCAGACTATAAAAGCAGTTTTTTCGTGCAGTGAAATCACCATCATTATCACATGTATGCTAGAATAAAGCTACACACAGGATTAACAAAATATATGACACTTGTACCAACTAAACTAAATTAAAAATCTGCATGGCTTTCCATAAAATATAATCAATATTTGGCACTGAGACACTGGGGGTGTCAGAAAAAAAGTGCATTTTTTTGCCTGGAGACCAAATTTTTTGGCAGCTGAGAAGCGGTGCCTGTGTTCTCTCCTGTCCTACAAGGTGAGGAGCTTTACTGAAATAGTAAAAGTAGTGAAATAGTAGTTAAAAAAAATAAAGAAAGAAAGAAAGACAGAAAAGAAAAAAAAAAAATGTAAAAAGATCTATTGAGTATCTGTTATATGGGCAGTGCATTCAAAATTGAACAATGCAACAGTAAAGATAGTTACAAAGATATTCCAGCATTTCATCAGATAGGTGATGCAGTCAGATACTGTCTTTTGAGTGTTTGCCACTCAATCTGTAAAGCGTATGTTATTTCAAAATGGGTTATCGTTTTCTCATATAATCAAAGGACATTTGTTATCATCATCTGCACAGGACTTCAGAAAAGTTAACAAACTCTTGCAGCTCTGAGGGTGATAAAGGATTTATTGGTAGGAAACTTGAGAGGAGAGGTGAAGTGGCTTGTTTCATGCCATCGAGAGAGCCTGAGTGCAGAGTTCAGCAAAGTCTGATTAATCCAATGGATCATTCTGCCCATTTTCCATGACAGGCCAAGCATTTATTTTACTGTAGTAGCATTGAATAAGTGTTTTGGGAGGTGCTCTTTTGCCTGGGCAGAGCAGAGCTGCAAACACAAGGAGGTGCAGTGCTGTTTAGAAAAGCTCAGCTTCTTGTGTTGCAGGAACTGGTTGTTTCTCCCATTTGTGTTTTCAAATTAGATGTCATGTAGAAAAGGTAACATAATTGCTTACCTTTTTGCTTTATGCTGTGTATGACTGTCTTGCCCTGCTCATCCTCAGCCAGAAGAAAAGTGGTTATACATTCATTTTCCCCCTGCAAAGAGCAAGGAATGGATTTATCCTCTGAAAAATCTGCAAAGGAGGAAAAAAAATCATCCATTAGATCAAACGAACTTCAGCATGCAATAACAAGAGAGATTGCTGGCATAATGTTTATCATAACCTCTGTGTAAAGCAAAGAGTAAAAGAAGAAAACAGAAGTACCCTCAAAATTTCAGTGGAAGTGCTTCCAAGATGCTTAAGAGTCAGCTGCTTGGGAAACACCCCCAGTTATAGGACAAAGTAAGCAGTATGTTCTCTTTGGTTTAGAACTACTTCTCACATGCCTAGAATTTTCATTTCTTCTATTTCTTCTATTTCAGAAGAAGATGTGCATATGTTGACCAGAAATGGACGTGGATAAAAGGACTGCCATTTATTTCTTCCTTCTCTCAAAGGCAAGAGGGAGGCAGGAGAAACTGGCTGTGACAGGCAGTATAAACAAAGGACAGTATAAAGCAAAGAAGAGGACTGAAAATTCAGACTGCAGGTCCACAAGTGCTGTGGCTGAATGCTTATTAAGTTTCCATAAAACCCATTATTTAAGGACCATTGGAAAGCGAAGTATGCTTTCAATACATTTTTAGAAAAAACTTCTTAGATTTCTATTTGTAGAGGGAAGAAAAAACAGTAAAGGTCTCAAACATTTATTTAGAAAGAAATATATTACGTCTATACAATCCTTGTAATGTTTCTTACCCAGTCAAAACTCCTACTGAAATTTCATAAGCAACTGTGTTGAAAGACTTTAGTTCTCGGACATTAATAGCAAGGAAGAGTAATGAAATATAAAGTAGGAACCTGACAAGGATAATAGATTTTAAAGAATCTATCATGTATAAAGAAATAAATGCTCACTTTTTATCATAAGTAAAGCGTAAAAAGAGTTTTATAGCAAAGAGTAGAAGGAGTATGAAAGCACAATCAGTTGAGAGCCTTTTTATAAAGTGAGAACCGTATCTAGTTGGAATGTTACTGGAAACTTGGTCTTGATCTGTGATAATTTTGTACTTAATCTGTTGCCTGTCCTTGATGTCAGAGCAATGTGTTAAGGTGACAGTTGGACAAGACATGCTGATTTGTCAAGATTTGCTTTTGTTGACTGAGCGCACTCAATTAATGACACTCTCTGCCAGGTCACAGTTCCAGTAATGCTATCACAGGTTTTGCAATATTTGTTGTTTCTCAACTCCTTTAAGCAAGCAGATCCAAACAATCCAATGAGGGGAGATTTTTTAGATTGGATATAAGGAAGATGTTTTTTATTACAAGTTTAGTTTAGTTCAATGTCATAATTGGAGACCATGGGATGTAGAAATCTGAGTATGTTCACGGACATAGAATTGAATGCAAAGATGCCAGTTTGGGCTATTCAGAATCCAACTTATGCTTAGTATTTTTACTCCTCTGATGTTATTTCTAGGACGAGATACTGAGTGAAGACTAAAGAACGGACAATTCCTAGGTGCAAAAATTCACTCAGATAGGTAAACTTTTCTTTGTGGCTCCCCAGCTCTTGTCACTGTTTTGCAACATATGTGTGCAAAAGAAAGAGTAAACCTTTTTATTTAGCCTAGGGTTACTGATGTTTTTTCAAAATGCTATGACAAATTAAAGAAGCTGAAATATAAAGTAGAAAGAAGAATTATGCTACCATATAAAATCATGATAAAAATATGTCTTAAATACTGTGATGATCTACATAAACTATTTTCAAAATATTTTTGTTTAGGGAATATGGTTTTGATTTCAAGATTTTTAATTGTATAATTTTTTTTTATTATTATTTTTTCCACCTTCGGGACATCTTAATGAGGCTACCTCATTACCAAAACTAATCCTCTGAAGTATTTGACATGTATTTAAGATGAAACACCTTCCTTACAAGGGAAATACTTGCCACTTTCAAACTCTGTATTACAGAGGAATACCATAAAAAAAAAAAAAAAGCTGGAGATTTGTTGGAAAGATATGCATCCATGAAATGTTTGCAAATATGCAGATGGGTTTCCAACAGTTTATAAGTTTTGTTCTTTATTTATGCATATAATATTCTGTGTTACCATCGTAATGCTGTGTATAGTGCATGTATGTCCTACCTCAGCTACCAATTGCTTTTTTGCCATAGGGCTGTGTTTGCTTTATTCAGAATAAATAGAGCCTACTTGCACTACAGGCAAGCACCCTCCTTTGTAGGACAGAAAAATGCTCTGATGCACTCTTCCATGTAAAGTTATGTTTTTTACCAAATATAATACTTCATTCCAGGTCAGTTCCTGCTGCAGGAATTCCTGTTGATGGAGAGCAACTCTAAATTACTGCGAGTAACTGAAAGATATGCTTACCCCATAGGACACCAGAAATGTCTCAAAAAAGCCTGACAAGAAGAACGTATTTGCGACAGGTTAAAGGATTGTGTCTGATTGCAGATGGTAATCAACCATCTGCATAAGGACTGGAGTCAGGTTTTGAATTTGTATGGCAAAAGAAGCCCCACTGGAACCTACGGTACAGGTATGAAAACCACAGGGACTTTCATCAGCCACTGATTTGCAGGAACTGGTACTTAAATTCTGTTCTTTCTTATATAAGCTGCTTAGCAAGTAGGTGCAATCCAATGAGTTAATTAACCTGGAGGGTTAATGCCAGTCCTGATCTGCATTCCCTACTTACAGCAGAACAACCGCAGATGGCTTGCTTTATAAGCCCTAGTATAACTCTACAGCAGAAAAACAAAGCTACTTTCAAAGGTAAAATTACCAAAAGTGGAAGCTATCACTGTTCACCCACACACCAAGAAGAGATTGAGTATACAAACCCTCTGCAGTGCTGACAGTTGCATCAACTGATTTGCATTTTTCATTGCATTCTCCCTGCAGCTTGTCATCAGAAGCCAAATGACATTCCACACAGCTCCTGTAGAAAATAATTCAGCAGCTCATCCATCTCTGTCTGTCCCAAAGTACTGATATAAAAGCAACTACGTACGCATCTGCATTTTAAAAAGAAGCTAAACAAAAGGTCTTGTGCTACGGATACAGTGGTTCTCAGAAATACGATAGGTATTGCCACTAAAAAAAAAAAAAAAAGGCCACCCAAAAAAAGCCAGCACTACCTGAATAAAGGTATTGTGAATAAGCTCTCTCTTGTCCTCTTTCTCTCCCAGCTTATTAGCTACCAGACAGAGCCCCAGGCAACATTATTCATGTGGGACTATCAAAGACATGAGGTTACTCAGACATAACATTCATTTTCAAGTATAAATATTCTGAAGTAAGCTTACACTAAATACCAGCCCAAGGAATGTCTATCAGATGAAAAATATTTGAAATTGACTTCAGTGAGATCAAGCTGGGGCACCTACTATAAGTCTTCCTTTGTTGAAAGTCTACTGAATAATGTATTTAAACACAGTTCAGGTGTCTCGACAGATGTCTCTCGAATGTGATTGCTTGTCTCAGGAATTACTTAGATGCTAATTATACTAATGCATTTATTGGAAAAGAATTTTCAAATCATTTACTTCATTTAACAGAGTGATGGCTAAAATATTTTAAACTATGGAGTCTAAACCAATTCTGTAAACCAAGTCTGTAAAAATCTTCCCAGAAACGCAATGTGAATGTTCATAAATTCAGAGTTCATTCATGGGGAGAAAAGGGCAAAAATGTAACAGAATTCATAAATGAAAAATTTTGATGAAGAATATATCTTGCTGATTCTGCACAATTAGCTTTGGTCAAGTTCAGGAGTTGAGACTCTAAGAACAGCCCTGAAGTACTTAGGGAAAGTAAGAAAGATTTTCCTTTCTCAGCTTAGAGAAAGGAAAAGAGAATAACAGCAACAAAACATCTCAGGAAAACCTGGCCATCTGCTGTTGCACTGAGTTACATATATCCATGAGAATATGCTGAGGCTGCTGAGATTATCTTCTCATGATGGAGATGACCTTAACACTTACTCTGGAGATGCTGAATAGTCAAGGTGAGTAGGTAATGGGATAGCCTCTATCTCACGGAGACAAATTGAATGTTGGTGGTATTTTTGCCATGTTTTCCATGTTTCCTCATGCTACCACTCTCCTTTTCACAGCCATTAATCTCAGTCCCCTCTGACCTGTCCTCCTGGCACTCTTGGTTACCCTACCCCAGTCTGCCAAGTGTTACACTGGCTGCTCCTGCCCCACATCTCAGCAACGGAAGTAACTGCCATGGAGACAAAAGATCTGACACTGCACAGAGTATGTATGTTTAAATAGGCTAATGCAATGCTCACCATGTAATTCAATACTTACTATTCTCTGCTAAACTGGGCAGAGCAAGGCAGCAGCATTGTACTTTGTGTTTCAAGCACCTGCGTGCAGAACTTTCTTTACTTAAACTGTGCTCACTACGGCCAGTGTGCATGAGCTTTGAACAAAATGGCTGGCTTGCTTTTGTGTGTCAAATGTAGTGCTAGCATAAATGGTGATTATATTGTGTGCCACAGAAGGGTTTCTTAGCTCAGCTATAGGGTGGACTGGAAAGACAGGCATGAAAATGCAGTGGTGTAGAGCTGGTGTGGAGGAGGAATGGGCCTCCACTTTAAGCAACTAGACATGACATAGTCACAAAACAAGATAGTTGGGCCTCCTTAATTCCATCAAGATTAACTCAATTTGTAAATATGCATGTGCAAAGCTTGAGCAGACAACATCACCTTATTAGTTCATGTGTTTGTGAACAAATGCAAATTCCAAAAATTTATGAGTTTCTTCCCTGCGAGTCCTCATTAATTTGCCCAAGTGACTCTGTTGGGATGGTTTCATTCTGCATCATGGACTGGAAGGAAACTGATCTGTATTTTGTCTGAAGTTATCAGATAAGCCAGGGACAGTACTGGAAATGCTTTACTTGTGCTGCTTGAAGGTGATTAAATTGTTTTCCTCCACTTTTTTTTTGTTTTTGTTTTTGTTTTTACAAGAATCATACTCTTGTTCATGTATGAGTTATGATTACTCCTCTCAACAGACAAGAGGCTCTTGGGTTCCAGTCTGTAAATCCAACCTGTTGTTGTGGCAATAAACACATTGCTGAGGCATTTTGGGAAATAGCCCAATGACATCAAAATCAGAGACATAAAACCAGCAGCTTACCTTCTGGAACTGCAAGGGTCACCACACAGTGGGCATTTTTCACATGTTTGGCCTGAGGCCCCTGGATGAATGCACACACACGACCCGCAGATGCATTCACCTCTCCCGCTGCACAGCGTTCCATCCTCAGAAATGCAGGAGTTGGTGTCAGTTGTGCAATTACAGTATTCACCAGTCCACCCACTGTGGCACACGCATTCGCCACAGTCACAGTCTCCATTGCCTGGAAAACCATTTATTATTTATTACTGCAGCTCAGTCTTTCAATATGAATTGGAATGACAGCCTTTAAAATCATTCTTAATAACAGGTATTTTCTCTATTCCAACACTTCTCACTCTTAAACCTCTTTCTTCCTCTCCTCTGTAATTCAGTTTTAAGCTAGTGGATCAAATTTTCACTTAGGCTGGCTGCAAGCCAGCGCAACTCTGTTCTCTTCACTGGAGTCTTCCACAAAGATTGTTATCTCCCAACAGTGCACAACTTAATGGATAAATCCTGTTTCATTTCCAGCAGCATGAATGCAGCCTATCTATTCAGCACAATCTCACTGCTGGTTCCTGCCTATTCAATACTATTCCCATTGTTTCAGTAGAATCACTTCTGATTGATGATTGTAGAGCTCAGGAAAAAATGACAAACACAACTCCTCACATTCTGATTGTATCATACTCACAGAAGCCAGAACAGCTGGAATCATCTGGGTTATTGGGTTAAATTATATTACATACAATATATGTAAATCAGAATGTGTCCCAAAATGGTTAGGAACGTCAGAGTGAAGTTGTACATTGCTTCATATCAGTGTATGTCAATAAACTTCATTAAACTTCTTTAAAGCTACAGCCATTACAACCGCTAAAACTCTAACCCATTGTGATGGAGGTGGGTACAGTCCAATAAAGCGATACCAGCTTCTATGAGCTGTGGTGTGGCTAAAGATGTTCCATTAAAAAATTTCAAAATAGGGTAAAAAATATATTTTAAATCTAAGGATCATGCTACTTTTATGCATACTGATTGTAATCAAATATATAACAAAAAAAGAACTTTGCAGGCTCATAAGTAAGAGGGATACAACAGTGCTCTAAATCACAGACACTAGACACAACCCACAGGGAGCTTACCTCCACACTGAAGCCCTCTGTGTCTCACACACGAGAAGTCATCACACTCACAATGCGCTCCGTAAACTCTTCCATACATGGATGGGTGGCAAACACACTGCCCGCAATAGCAGCTGCCTCTCCCGCTGCAGGAGCTCTGCTCCACAGAGCCCTTGCAGGATCCAGTGCTGAGAGCATTCTCACCACACTCGCAGTGTGGACCCATGTACCCGGGGTGGCAGACGCACACTCCGCACTCAAAAGTGCCTTTCCCCTTGTTGCATTTCGAGCTGTTCCTCTCAGCCTTGGCCTGGCAGCTGCAGCTGCACTGAGGGAGTATTTCCATTTCCAGCATGTCACTGAGACCCACTGGTTTTATCACAACATACCTGGTGGTTTTATCACAAGTGGGCAGACTTATGGTCACATTGAAAGAGACCTGGAAGAGAAAGTGGTGTCTGCATACATAGAGTGCAGGGTATTCTGAAAATATATGCATAATATGGTACAAGAGTTTCTCTGCTTGAAGGAAGATTATTAAAAAAACCCAAAAAAACAAAAACCCCAAACTTTTTATACAGGTGCTTTAAATTCCTATGAATTAATATTTTTGGGAATCTGTTCCTTACTTACTGTGTCTCCCACTTTCACGTGAGAGCATTTCCTCTGATGTGGAAAAAAGGTCCCATTGTTACAGACAGCAGTGAAAGAGAGATCGAGTCCTTCTGTGTCCCCAAAGACCTCCAGCTCTACTTCGGACCTCAGCTCCTTCAGGGAAAAGGAGTGTGATGAATGAAGAGATAACACTGCCACACGCAGCTGATGTCCTGTGTCTGTGTGATGTGGTCTGTAACTTATCCCAGCTACACAGGAGTAAATGTGTTTGGTTTAGGCACTTTATTTACATACTCAATTGCAAGAAAAATGGAGAATGAGTGAGACAAAGAAAGTGCCGACAGAGACGGCTTTCAGCTCAAAGCCACAGAGTCCTATCAGTTTAATATCCGGTATCACGGTGCTTATTTCCTGCTCTTGTAGAAGAACAAATCAACATTTTATTAAATCATCTTTCATTATTAAGTATTCCATTGACTAATACAGGCTTTCTTTAACTCTGGTCTTACTGAGGAATGGATCTGTGCCTCTGTTTGCTTTGCTAGCACCAGGCTTTTCTTGATTAGCCAGCAATCAATATTTCTTCCTTGTTGTCTCTGCTCTTAGAATCAAACCTCACAATCTCCCTTCCAGTTCGGCAAGCTCCAAGCTCAGTTTTTCCTCATTGTGGGCCTCTGTACCTTTACCTGATGTTTGCAGGACAAGAGCCAGAGCCTATCCCCACAGTTAGCTCACCTAGCCTAGTAGCTCATTCTGTTCTCCTTTCTCACCCAATAGAAATTTTGGTTTCCTGAGTTGTTGGCGATGTTTCAAGCTGTGTTCAACAGTGTTGTCATTTCTTAAGTAAATTTGTTAAATCAAACTTTCATTTCTTAAATGAAAAACGCTCTTCAGCTCACCTCCTGAATACTCTCATATCCTCTATTTTAATATATATTTAACTTCAAAATATTTTTATAGCAACTTAGGTTACACAACTTAGCCTTAATCCAAAGCCTGTAGCAGGACATGGGGAAATTCCCTATGACTTCATCAACTCATCAATCCAGTAAACGGAAATTTTTCAAAAGCACCTTAGCAATCACAGAGCAGAAGTCTTACTGACTTAGCTTTGTGCTCTTGCAAGCTTAATTGCTTTACAGAACACCCACTGTACTTCAATCAGGGTATGAGGATCTTGCTGATCTTCCTTCATTGAGTCATTCAGTAAAGGCATCAGGATGATTCACTGGAGTAAAGGTCTGGGAAGGTTAAAAAAGTGATGTTGACTGAAACTAAAGGAGACTAGTTACAGGCCTACACAGACAGCATCTCCCTGTCCTTGTACACATCCTGGATTCTCTGGAATTTTTTCTCAGGGTTGAGACTAGGTTCTTTTTCTAAATGTCTTTCGGAAAACCTGGTCAGTAAACCAAAGCACTTTAAAAAAGGATAGCAACACATCCTGCAGGGTGTGTTTGCATAACATCCAGTGCTCTTTCCACCATGCAATCCATGCACTGGCCATCAGGCTGTTCATTTTGGTAGCTCTGGATGAGTTCAGTTTTTCCCCTTCATTTGTCCTGGAGTTGCTTATGCTGCTATTGGGCCAATGTAGAGATTCTTAGATAATGGTTTGTTTGGACTCCCGCCAAAGGACCAAATATAGCGAACCTTAAGGCAAAACTGTGAGACTTTGCATGTATTAATGTTATATCACTGAATGTTCTCTCAGCTGCAAAATTACTACACCCAAGCACAATACATCCATGAGAGAAACTTAAATGCTGCTGAACACAAAAGTGTAATACATTGATTGAGTCGTGGTGTCTGTACCAGTTCACTTATGATTCCCCTCCCGTATAAACATATTATTTCTTTGTGTTATTGTTGTGTAAGTTAAAAAGGAGCAATGCACTGAAAAAAAAAAAGTTAAATATTTCTAAAATGGTAAAATCTTGAAATAACCTCAATCAAAATGCCTGATACCTGTCCCAGTGCAAGTTAGAGTGCAACTCTGCAATACAAAGCCAAACAGAATAAAGCAGGCAGAAATATGCTTTCAGGAGAAAATGAATCATACTTAACATGAGAACGCCTTGTAACAAACATTTTGACAGCTTAGACTTTCTTGACTTGTTTACTTCTTCTCTGAAGCTTTTCGATAATGGTGCACGGTAAACGTTATTAACAAACCTTGTGTTTGTACAGCAAAGGCTGTAGAGTACTTTAAAAGTGTTAAAAGATAGAGCCTAACACTACTCATCTGGGAAAATAGTTATTAACTCTGTTTTTGTAGGTGAAAAACCATAAACTCTGAGTGTTGAACTGCACTGCTAGGAGTAGTGTAAAAGGTTTACAACAAAACTGGAATATGTCAAATAAGGTGTTTTTCAGTGTTTCCTGCTTGGAAAGGATTCAATCATGAGGCAATAAGGTTGTTAATCTTAAAGGCTAAGCGTAATAAAATGGGCTCTGGGAAATTTTGAAATTGTGACATGTTGCTACTCGTACAGTTTGTACGGTGCAAAACATACATGAGCTCTTAAGAACCTATGAGCAACTGGTGGATGGCCCAGACATGCTGTACCTGCGCTAGGACAGGATGAGCTGTGGCCCAGAGGCAGGAGCCCAGCTCCAGTAACCTCCTTCCAGCTGCTCCAGGACAGACTAAGCACTGAGCTCCTTGCTTCCTCCAGATCCTGCCCACAGCTGGCTGAACCTGGGATGGTGCAAGTGAACTTTGTACTGCAGGAGACAGAAAATATCAGCATGTTCAAAAAGAGGAGTAGAAAAAAAAAAAAAAAGGAAAGAAAAGGAAGAAGCCAGGCTAGCATTCTGTCCCTCATCACCATTTCCTATTGCCATTGGAGAAAAAACAGCGCTGTGCTGGATGGATCATGCAGGTCATGTCTTCTGCTCGTATTTCTTAGGAAGGATAGGCTTATTGTTGTTCTGAGATAGAAAGGAGAAATACTCTCATTCTAACTGGCAAATATGAACGGTGAGAATGTCAAAAAATAAAAACCTTCCCAGCATCTAACAAGACCGAAGTTGCCATAACAATGCAACTAGAGGAAATGAGGAGGAAATACTGTTAAGCACATAATATAACATTACTGTAAAATCACCAGGACATGTCACTGGGACAATTATTTTACATTTTCCCCATATTTGTTGGATAAAATCTGGTGTTTAGCTGTTAAAGGCAGTAACATCTGTCTTTCTGTCAGAGCCCCATCCTCAAGAAATCCAGATGTGACAACTGACAGGTCAAACTCCAGAGGTGAAATCCTGACGCCACTGCCCATTTAGGGCTAACTGTACTTCTGACAATTGTTTCTCCTTAATCATTATAATGCATTGACCCCACCAAAAAAAAGCCTTACAGTTCTTTGCTCATCTAAATTTTCCATAGGAAAGAATGATATTTTGTATTTCATTTTAAAATCGCAATCAATTATGCTGCACTTAGTAGACTTGAAAAATTTGTTTTGCTTTTCCATTATTATGTCCAAAATAATTCGGGGGCATAATAATAACTATATTATGCTGCAGGTAAGAGGAAGATCAGAAAAACAAATCAACCAGCCAACCCAGAAAGAAATAGAAAATGCCCTTCGCAAAGCATTATTTTTCATTGTAGCCAAAAGTTAGAGCAAGTTTCTAATAAAAAGGAGGATAAAAAGGAGTAAAGAGAAAACTCTGTGACATATCGACATATAAGAAGATGTACATATATATGTATGTGTGTGCATGTGTGTATGTATATACCTGTGTCAAACTGTCTAAAAACATTCCCCTGAAGGAAAGGGACCAGGTAGCAGGAATGCATTTTACAAACGGAGTTCTGAAGAGCAGCTCTGTATTTACCTTTCTGTCATATTCACAGTCTTTCTCAGTATTACCAAAAACAACCCATTTGAGACTTCTCTTGCCTCTTGTGTTTTGCTCTTCAAAAACCTCAAAACAGCCTCACAGGGGCAGCATCAAATTGCTAAATCAGAAAACAGCACTGATGACAGGGTAGTGCTTTTCCCCAGACATTCCTGTGGAAATGTTGGAGCATTCTCCAGGGACAGTTACTGATAGGATGGGAATTATTGCCCTGCAGAAGTTTTGAGCAGGAAGACATGAATTCCTATATAAAAGAAAGCTTTGAAACAAGTGTGAAATAGAGGACTACAAGATAGAAGACATGCAGATGTGAATTCTGCATTCCAGCACAAGTAAAGAGAGACAAAAGCACAAAGGAATTTTGTTTGGAAAACCATGAAACATATAGCTTTAAATAACAGAGCAGTCAACCTCAAGCATTCACTGCAATCTCAATGAATGCAGATGTAACATACTTTGAAAATACATGCATAATGCATGCGGAATATAGGATGGATGCACAAAAAATGCTTTTCAGCAAAGTGCTGCGAAAAAGCTGCCTGTGCCGTGGTACCTAACATCAGCTCTGTCACTCTCTGTTCTTCTCTGCAGAGCAAAGCCAAGTGCTAGTAACACAGTGCCCTATTCATTTGCTCAACAGTACTATGATCACTAATGGATAACATAAGTTAATTGTGAGTTGTGTGACTAATGGGGGTGTCTCATTGCTGTGAGTCTAAATCTTGATTGTTAACAATTTTCAAATGGCAATTTTTACTTCCTAATCTACAGAGTGATTCTTGCCAGAGCATTCTGCTAACTGAGCATTTCAGTAGAGAGTAATATATTGTCAGTAAAAGTACTGGTACTGCGCTCAATCCATCCTTGGAGCAAACAAAAGTTCCCCTGTAGAGGTCAGCAACTAAACACACAAAATTGTTCTTGTCATCAGTACTGAAAAAGAATCAAAGGTGCTTGGATTTAGCAAATTGCACTCTAACTTTGAAAATGGAAGCACATAGAAAGAAAACAGATTATTGTAACCTTACCTGATACGCAGCAATGATCAGCTGGAGAATATTTCCGGAATCCTCCTGCAGTCGTCCAACAGTAGCTCCAGGAATAAGCTTTGCATAGTTCTGAAAACAGTGAAAAAAAGAATAAAAAAAAAAGACTAGTTGACAGAGTAGGTGACAAGGACCTGCAGTCTGGAAATGAATGAACTACAGTGGAGCCAACTGAAATAAATGATAGTGACGTTTTCAAGGACTCTGGCTGATCCAATGGCACACTTGTCATATTGGAAGAGGTCTTAAGGAGAAGCATTAGTTTCACTGACAATTAGTGGGAAATAAGTTGCTAAGTGTGCTTACGAGTTTGACACCGGAGTATTTTCTAGCTTTTTTTTCTTTAACTTAGAATGAATATATACGCAACAGTTGTGTTTTACTTTAAAAAAAAACAGAACAAACAAACAAATAAAAAACAAAAAATAGATTCAGCTGCTCAACTGTTGCTGTAATATTCAAATGCTTTAGACACAACATTCAGTAACGACAGCCACCTTTTTTTTTTTTTTTTTTTTTTTTTTTTTTTTTTTTTTTTGCCTTTCCATGCAACTGAACATCTTGAATTTTAATATAGGAGGACACAGAAATCTCTTAACAGAAAACCTCTTAGTTAAGAGATTTCTACTAAGGACTACAAGAACTTTGAACAAAGATGCTTAAAAATCTGCTGCTAGTTTCCAATTGCTGTAACACCCCACACATCTCCCAGTGATCAGGGGCTGTAGTTGACCGTATGTTGACTTTATGTTAATAAGATAATACCAATTTAATAATTGATTTCAGTGGAAAGTTTCTTCTTTCCTTTCTGCTCTCCTTTCCTTTTTCATTAAATTCACTGTGATGCTAAAATAACATCCAGCAGATAGATTTTAAATACACTTGGTTAAAATTTATCTTGGCTGATTGTTAACTACATGAATTTCAGCTGCATGTACCTATGCCTTTTGAAAACAGCAAACAACCACAGCTAAAAATACACTTTGTAGCATTCATTTTTCTTCTACAATTCATCGTATGAGTGCTGTTATTTTAATCGCAAAAAATCCAGAGAACTATTAATAAATATGGATAATCTGATAGCCTTGTATCCCTCCTATGCTTCACATCTCCCAAAGCACTGTGATTACTTTATACATTATGTATGGAATACCTGTCATTCATTGCAGTTCTGAAGTGCTATTGTAAATCAGTGGGATTAACTGCATTTTGTGTTCCAGCTGGTGACTTCGCATTCCTGACTCCTCTTGTGCTTAGTGCTTTCTCAAGGATTCTCAGAATACTGAAACACTGCATTTTGTAGATGCGGACCTCCCATGAGCTGATTATATATTGGGAGGGAGATGATAAACCTGGAATTTAAAGTCTAGCACCCTTCTAATCTGCGGCATGCAAAACAAACAGCAGAGGTATTCTGTTCTGAAGACTTTCTCCTCATAGAAGAAAACTTCACTGCATACTGATGCAAGGATGATGGAGCACGCCCAGTGCAAGTGTGACCCTTCAGTTCCATAGTTAAACCCCACCTCTCAGCACGTATTTCTGTTTAACCATTAATGGAGGCAAAGTGATGCTATTATATGCTACCACCATAAAATTATCCAGAGAATGCCACTGAGTTCAGTCTTTTAGCAAGTATTCATTAAAAGATGAACTGCATTTTTCTAGCAATTCTCTCATTCACCATTAGTGAAATTTGAGAATTACATATTTGAGCTCAGCGGGGTTAAATTTAACTTCCAGCAGTGCAAATGACAGAAGAATTTTCAGCATACATAAGGAGTTGTGCTAAATTTAATGAATAATCATTTGAAATTCTGAACAAGTTTGAAGATTGGTATTTTTAGTCCAATTTTCAGCAGTGAAACACAGTTTGAAAAAAACTCAGTTTTCAAGCTGTAATTTCTTGTGATGCATTTATCTATATGTATTCAAAAAAGAATAATTTTTGCCATTATTACACTGAGGAAAGGCTAAAGAGAGATTTTTTCCCCCTCATCTAGTTTGAATAAATTTTAAAAGAATTCTGTTTGAAATCAAATGATAACAGCACTAATGATAATTACTTGAGGGAATCTTGGAGTGTTTTCTTTTATACCAAAATGGGATTTAAAGTTAATAAAAATGCCACAGAAATATTCACAAATATTTTCTAACTGAATAGATTTAGAGAATAAATACACTCCCTGCTGCTTCGGTAAGGATCAGCAGAGACTAATAATGCAAAACATTAGACAAGTGAATATATTTTAAAATAACTTTTCTTTTAAAAAAAATTGTTTTTAAAAATCAAATCTCAAATGATCAGGGCTCAGTGTAAGAACTTCTGCTCTCTTGCATTTAATTCTGAGTGGGCTTATGTGCGTTTCCATGTGACTGCTTTAAAACATGGCCAACCTGGCAAGGAGAGCATCAGACCTCAACCTTCATCCTCTGGTTATTTCTATCCAGTGGATGCATGCTTGCACGGAGGATCAAAAACTAGAACCTGCTATGTTACAGGTGCATATATTCTGTGTGTGTACAATCTATATTCAGTGGTATACATACATTTCAGTGGAAATTAAATGAAAATTCAGTTCAAGGGGATCAAAACAGATGAATTATTTTGGGCTAAGTTGTTGGGGATTATATAGGGCTAGAAATATTGAATAGGCTTTTGCCAGTCTGAACACTGAACTTAAGAACACTGGAATCCATCAAGTTTATTTAAAGAGATGCTGACTGAGTCCTCATAGTCATTTTAATGCATGCTGGTCCTTAAGAACTGAATTATAAATAATAATGGTCCAGTTTGGGATCTGATATAATTAGATGCTGTGTACAAGAAGATTTTAGATGAGCCATATGGATATATATTAAAGGATAATCAAGTTTAGGAGGTTCTCTAATAAGGAGAGTCCATCCACTGAGGCTTTTAGACAATGCCAGAACAAGTGTGGTTTAATGGCGATGACCAAGTGCCAATTCAGCCTCCTCACCCAGCTCTTCCAAGCCCCATCAACACTGACCTTAACTCAAGAATAGACATCTCTGCCTTGCTTTGTTCTTTTTGAACTCTTAAATGTGGATAAGTGCATGACTACATTTGTATTATAAACTAGAATCCTGTTTGTATGTCCTACATCAATCATGAAAGGAAAAAACCTGTACTCTGAGAATGACATATAAATTTTTGTGTTTGCTTTGTCTGATTTTCTGTGTCACCTACAGAATGGAAAGCAGAGCAGAACAACTATAGAAATCCAAATAAGTGACGGAAAGCAGTATTGAAAAGATGAAAGAAGCAGATAGAATATATTCAGTGGGAATTCTCTATACCCTACAAGATAGAAGATAACAGCTTTTTTTCTTTTCTAACTAAGAAAGTAACAAGAACAAAAATTCTACAGTTGGTTGAACAATAGCCTGCATTTTTCTTTAGCTATAAATCTCCGTTTAGTGTTCCCAGTGAACAAAGGGTGCCACTTGATAACTTTGATATTGGTATAACACTGACACAGGAAACTGAAATAGAAAACTGCTGATAAGAGCACTGTTGGCCAACTCTGAGGGTGACCACCTGCAATTTCTAAAGGAAAATATAATGCCATCAGTAAGAGAAAAGGTTTTCTGGGACAAAATATAGCTCTGTAAATGAGAGGTACTTCCAAAGAACCTCCTAGAACAGCCCCTATTTCTGCAGCTCCTATTGACATTGGTGAAAATATCTCATTGTTATGAAGTGGGCCTCTATTAATGGATGAGAAATAATGAGATTTAACTAACGTTACTTAATGCAAAAAAATTTAATTCATCTATGCAGGTTCCCACTGCATTCATTAGTAAATGATTGCTTTCTTCTACTCTGGATTTTAATTTTCACTCTTCAGCTCAGAATTCAATATACATTCTAAAAGTGCTTGAAGGCGAAGAGTGCTTTCTTTCATTGCTAATGCTGTCATCTGAGAATCAGTTTCTGAAAGATTTCACTCATGCAACTTTTGTCCAACAGTTGGAGTATTATCTTTTCTCAGACAGCTCTACAACTAGATCCAGTCACAGAATCACTGGAAAGTATTCCTTGGGCCACAGAGAGAACAGAAATTAGAAACAGAAAACAGTACTGATGAGTACTGAAAGAAAAGTAAATAAAATTCCCAGATCAGTTAAATAAATAAATAAATAAATAAAGAAGAACCTACATTATTTCACTGTTGAGCTTAAAGACATATATTTGTCAGAATGCATTCTTGTTTTATTAAAGGAATAATAGGCTCCTTATCTACCCTCACAAATACAAAAGGCTAATCACAGAGATGGTTCCAAATAGTGTAGAAATGCCTCGTTTGTTAGTCCTTGTTGATTGACTTGAAAATTACAGTATGATTCACCTTGAAATCCAATTTAAAGTAATGTAAGGACATCAAAATCAATACAGGAATCAGCATTCTTTAAGTAAAAGAGTCTTTCTGTGACTCCGATATATGATTTCCTAGATACTTTTATTACATAAATGTCTTGCAGAATTGGCTCCTAAATACTGGAGTGTATCAGCTATGAAAAATAGTGAACCTATTAGCAAATACTGGAGAACTGAAGATTTTAGTTTACTCACCTCGTATGTGTGAACTTGTTCATTCGTGACAGCAAAAATTACCAAAACATTGTTTTGCACAAGTTTGTCAATTAATTGTCCAATTGTGGGGTACTCCTGAAGGCAAACAGAAGAGAGCCTGCATTAGTTTCTCCAGGTATGTCCAGATGCTAATTATCACCGATAAAACATAGTTAAGTGACCATAATTGATATTCTGCTGCATAAAATGAACTATCATTAGTCATCAGGCTATATATTAAAAAAAAAAAAAAAAAGTGTGTGTAATTTCCTTGCCTTGTTTTATGGATGTCCCTTAGAGGGAAGTATGGTGTTACTTTCCACACTTTAGTAGCATTGTGCCAGCAGAACAGGGTATGTGCACTAGTTTGGTCACTGAATCTTAAGCTGAAAGTTTTTATCCTTTGAGCAGCGGCCTTAACATTTCTGAATTTCTGCTGAATTCACATCCTCCCTTCCAGGGAAGTAGGTTAATGCAAATTTTGTTACCCCTGCATAAGGTAATACTAGTCAGTCTGGTTCCACGTGTTTTCTTGGTTAGCAGGAATAAGAGATACAATTTTATTTTATTTTTTTTTTACTTTTAGTTTTTTTGTCACAATTTGTCACAATTCCACATAAACCAACTGTTCTCTTGTAACTAACATTTGCAACTAAAAGTAAAGCAGATAATAGTAAATGTTTAGCTTCTGCAGCTTCCGTGCATTTCAGTGATTAAGGTACACTTCCACTAGGTTTCTTCTTTGCTTCTTTGAGTTGAACAAAATTTAGAGTGAATTACCAGAATAGTTGACATGGAATATTCATTATTGTGGTCCAAATGACAGTTCCCATCATTAGGAATAACAATTCCAGCTAGCTTGCTGTCCATCCCAAAGTGGGAATCAGCATCACTCACAAACACCAGCAAATGCAGAGAGTCATTCCTCCATCCAATTTTTTCCTGTCATTTAAAATACATTAGTTCAGTAGACTGTATTACATTCACAAGCAGGAAAGCATCAAAATACTTGGAGAATGGCATCTCAAAACAAATCTTAAAGAGTGCATCAAAAACATCACATCACCTATTCTAAGAATGAGCATCATCAGTTTGAAAGAGACTATAGTTTTCATTCTGATGTCTTTGGCTAAATTTTCTATTCTCATTTTTGTGTTTACGAAAAAGTGTTGGCTCTGTTCAACTCAGTCTGCTTAATACTCTAAGCATAGTTCACCCAACATTTTTAGATAAAAAAATTATTAAGGGAACAGACCCAGTAGTTATGCAGTTCATATTTTATTTTATTCCTGGCAATTAAGTAGAAACAATAAAATATGGCAATATTCATGTATGTTTAACATGTTACAGCCAAAAGTATTTTCACATAAACCTAATGAGGCTCTCGGATCGCATTAAAACAACAACAACAACAAACAAATGAAAATAATGATCTACTCCTTTGAATTATAACCATATAATACTGGAAGTGGATATATACAGAGTAACTTGTATCATATCTAGAATTTTCAATTACCTTGCAAACAGCTGCCTGCATAATTGCATCAAATCCTCCCTCTGGAGTATCTATGTTAGCAGAGATTCGCTGTCCTTTTACAATTTCATTGAATCTTTCGGCATCATTTGTCAGTGACAAAACATGCTTGTATCCAAAGGTGGGCAAGCACTCATATGGCACACTTCTGCAAAAGGAGTGAGACAACTCATGGACAGTGCAGAGAGAGAATCCCTACAGTGGCTACATGGCAGGCCTTGCTGGATTAGTTTTTGGTTTTGCATCTCTCTTCTGTGCTTGAGAGTAAATGAAACTGCCGTTCTGTGTTGGGTTTCAGTTTGAACCCCTTTAGCATCACAGCATCATAAAATTTCTGTCTCTATATAAATGTATACATGTATATTCTAGCAAATAAAAATAAATACATAGTTATTCTAAATATCTCTTTGCTACTCTGTTAAGCACATTTGTAATTAGCAGCAAAACTATAGAGCAGAATCACTCTCAAATTCCTCTCTTCAAGTAACGTAGCAGTGTAAGGTGAGGTTGGATCTTGACAATATTTGGGATCCCATCCAACCCAAGCCATTCTATGATTCTATGCAACAAATTAATGAGCAGTGTAAAGCTCAAACAAATCTTATTTCCCAAACTGACTCAGTTACTACTGGAATAAGGAAGGGATTCCAATGGGGTTGCAAAATTGGATTTTACCATAAGGATTAATATTATGACTAAATGTTAGCATGCAAACAAATACAGGTACTTTCCCTGCCTACCTGCAAGGGTTGTTTATTTCTTCAGCTGTAGTTTTGATAAATGGTGAAACTGGTTTTTCAACAAAAGATCCAAAACCCAGTCTGAAGTTGCTTGTCAGTTTTGACATTTCTTTGGAAAGAGTTGAGCCTAATTCTTTTATTGTATTCAGGTCATCATCCATGGAAGCTGAAAGATCCATGAGGTAATAGAGGTCAATTGGATAATCTTCACTTTGCCGAACCTTGATCTGGATTGTTTCTTCATGTCCTGTGAAAGTCATGGGAAGATGGGATACATCTTAGTACTTATAAGAAGTAATAAGCAATGGTGCTTAGTTCATAAACTTATATATGGCAAGAATTATTTAGCACTTTAAGCCACCTGTGCAATTAACAAATAACTGGTCAGGCACTGGAGCAGCTCCCCAGGGCAGTGGTCACAAACCCAAGCTGCTGGAGTCTAAGAAGCATTTGAACAGCACTCTCAGCCATATGGTCTAAATTTTGGGTCGTCCTGTATGGAACCAGGACTTGGACTCAGCAATCCTTGTGGGTCCCTTTCAACTGGGGATACTCTATGATTCTGTGATAACTTTACAAACTCTCAGGCAACAAAAATCTCAAACTGGCTGTCTAGAAAATTAAAAGCAATTCTGGTGTATTTTCTAAACCATTCCTCAGTAAGGCCCTAGTTGTAGACTCGGAACTGATGGCTGTGATTAAAAGATATGAGAACATCCTTTCAGCAGTATGCACCTTCAGAAAATTTAGATATGAAGATCATTAAAGCTAAAGGAAGCACTTACGGGATGTGCCACACACATTAAAAAATCAGAGTGTGTACCAAGTTTTACTCTCAGTTGTAGTACTGCAGTATGACCTAACTGGGTGTTTCTTGTGTTTTCTTAGTCCAAGCATTACACAGGAAAAGAATCACGTCTCAAAGACCCCAGAGTAGGTATAGAATGCTTCCATAAATGTCACTGCTACCTTGTAAATCCTCAAAGCAAGATTTTTATACTGCCTCTGAGATACGCTGTCTGCCAGATCTGCAGAGGGAGAGGCTGAGAGACAGGGCTGGAGAGATATGGGGGCTTTCCATTCTTTCACAGACAACTTATTTCCCAGAGAATGCAAGAACTGAACATTAAATCCTTAGTTTTGATGATGGATCCAGCACTTCTGAAAGTATTCCTTCCAAACTTAACAATTATCCGATGAGTCAAACAACCGATAATTTCAGATTGAACATCAATATTTTATCTTTGTCTTTTTTTTTTTTTTTTTTTTTTTTTTTCCCCCACTAGTCTGAGTGTATAACAGTATCTCAGTATACATCATGAACAGGAAAATAAAATAAAAAAAAATCTGCATTTATGACCTGAGTGACTTACCTGGTCGCAGCCTGAGTGTTAATTTCTGGGGAGAAATCTGTGTGACATCAGAACTGTCCTTCTGGGTTGCTATAGTTAGAGGTTTGTTTCTGTGAATTTCCACTTCTGAAATGGGAAATTCAATCAAATTCAACTGGCATCCTTTTGACAAAAGGTTTTCTGGGGTATCACACCTCCCATGAATTCCAGCTGAGTCTGTGTAATTCTAAAGCAAACAGGAAAAGAGATGGATGAGTTAAATATATTTACTGACCAGCCACCAGCAGCAGCTGACAAAAGGTCAATCGAATGCCAAAGAACTAGAAACAAAGGTGCAGATTATACAATGAGTGCAAACTAATTCAGAAGGAGATCTAGAGGGCACCGAAATCTCAATTTGCCCTTCGTGGGTCATGTCCCACAGGTGTATAATTAATGTAACTTACACCACTTTAGTGTCCTGGGAAAAACTACTCTACTGTTGGGGAATGGGAATTATGCCACTCTCACTTGGCTTCTTGCAGCTCTGGGAATGGGAACACAAAGCCCTTCTGAGCCTGTTGTTGTAAGCAAAACACTTACAGGTCTATCTCACAAATTCACCAGCCTTTCCTAAGCAGTTTTGAACTGCTGGTGGAACATCATTTAATAACAGGAGAGCAAATAATAAATTCCTACAGATTCTGTGAGAAAATGGAGGCGCGGTGCACATAATTCTCTGGACTCTTTGTTTTCCTTTGATCTACTCTTTCTCCTCAGCCCTTATTTTACTAATTCATTGAACCAGCAAACACCACAGCTCCCCTCTTTCTCCAGAACTGATGGGGTTCCCACTACTCTGATATGCCCACTCACATCTGGCTCAGCATCCTTCTCCACCTCCCTCCCCCATAGAGGGAACTGCAAGCCTATCGATATCACCTGGATATCTTGCAGTTGGTTCTGGCTCCTCATTTCAAAGCACTTGACATACAATTCTCCCTGCAATGCAAACTCACATTTCACATACAACATGGGCATTATCCCACATAGCAGTGAGGTTAGTGGTTTGTTTCATGAAGAGGCTTTGATGCCTTATTACCACTTCCTAGAGCTATGTCTAGAATTTAGACCTGCAGGTCAGTCAGTTATCTCCTGAATTGAAAACTGTTATGGCCAACCAGACTTTTTGACAAAAGCTGGGAAGTGCCTGGCAGAACTAACATCAGAACACCTCCTGCCTCATTGATGGCCGTGGCCCATGGCATGGGACAGCTCTTTTCTCCCTGGTTTGGCTGAACTGAGATTGCTTGCCCATTACACCACAAATAATATCTCAGTTCAGTCACTGAGGAACTTTCTACCCAAAGCAAAACATATTCACTTTAAACTTATTAAGAACAGAAAACTTATTAAGAACAGAATTCAGCCTCTCCTTGTAATCAAGACTTCATCACTCATGGCTGACACTTGTCAGAGAGCTCACGTATTTTTGTGGAAGCAACACAGGTGAGAACAGCAATTTATCGTGCTTCAGACCAAATCTGACAACCTTGCTCAGAGAAGACTCTCACCAACACCTTCTTCACTGCACAAAGATCAGTGTTACAGAGCTTTCACAGGGAGAACTATACCACCTTCTGTAGTTACACACTTTTAATTGCTGGCTTTTTGAAACGTGCATGCAGAGGCAAACTCATGTTTCAGATATACCTAGAAGGCACATTTTTCTCCTATAGAGGATTTTTTAAGTCAACACGTTGTTTTTCATTTTCTCAATGTATGTGGCAGTATTTCAAATCCTGATCAAATTTCAAGAAAATCCTGTTTTTGTGGCTGACTGCAAACAGAAATTCCTGAAAACACAGGAGTTTCTAATGTTTTGTTGTTGTAAATTGGGTGGGTTTCTTTTTTTATTTTTGGAGTGTGTTGTTTCGTGTGTTTTCCTCCCATGGTAACATTATATACAAATTGCTGAATTATATTTAGCAATCTCCTTAAAAAAAAGTATTCTTTGATCTTTGTGAGTTACTTCATACAGCGATACAGTATTCCTCATCTATGTGTTATTCTGCTATTTTTAAAAGGGGGGAATATTTTCTGATTTACAATTCTGCTGCTATCATGAAAAATATTCAATTTCTCACTATTTCTGGCAATTTTTAAATTACAATAGCTAACTTTCTTGCCAGAATTAATTAACTAAGACCCAGAAGACTTGCTAGGAATTATGGAGGTATTCATCACCTTTCACAGGGGAAAATTTTAAAAGCAGAGATGGTAATTGGCTTGCTCAGAGTTACACAGAAAGCCTGTAAGAGTTCTGTAGGAAACAAATCCAAACATTTATGTTAAAGCCCTATGTTTTAGCCAAAATACTCACACCTATGTCATAATTAATTAGAAAACTGACACTACTGTCATATTTGAAATCAGCCAGAGCCGATACTACAGATATTAATACAGCTTAAAGTCTGTATTTGAATTTCCCTTTTGATTCCTAGGAAGGCTTCGCTAAGCACTGCATGCGTTACAAAACCATGGGCTAACCCTGTTAAGTCAATACTTTGTCACTCAGAGCCACTACAAACATTTCAAGTTTTACTTTGAAATTTTTGGTATCATCTACCTCTTGGAAGCACCAAGCACAGTGCGGTCCGGAAAGCAAACAATCTTCACAAGTCACTCCACTTTCCTGAGAACAGGTCCCTAAGTTTAAATCCAAGAAGACAAAAGGCTATTAATAACGTGTTTAATCATTCAGTCCGTGATGAATCTGCTCACATTGAGAACATAGGAAGCAAAAGCTATAAACATTTAGCCATACGTAGTGTTACTGATAAAGCCCTTCCCTAAAGATAATATTTCTATTGGTAGAACATTAACTCTCTGGGAAAAACAAAACAAAACAAAGAAAACAGCAGCAACACAATTGCTGATAATTAATATACTTCTGCATGCTTTATAGGTACACATTCACTGAGAATATAGGAATGTGCTACTGTGTTTGTTCCAGTGCACTTGATAAAGATTTGTGTTTGTTTGTGGTACGGGGCAAAACATTGCCAGCATAACCAAAACACCAACAGAGACACCAAACCACAGATGTACACATGCTCACACTTTATACCTAAAATTGCTTCACCCAGGTCTGTAAATTCTTGATATTATTTTAATTTTTTGTGAAAGTGCTGGTGAAACATTGAGACCTTGTACGGTATTAAGTTTCTCAGTGGATCAAACAGTGATTAGTATAACCATAACTACTCGGATGCCTACCTGTTTCATACATATTGTGCTATGCAATGCCCACATAAATCATAGACAAATTCACAGGGCTGCCTTTCAGCAGCATGTCAAGAAAACAGTCGTCAAACAGAAAGTAACAATTAAATACAGGAGACAAAAAACTATTTCATATCAACTTAAAGCAAGAAACAAAGCAAAAATGGTTTTGAAATGCATCTCACTGCTCCTGAGTCTTACCTTGCACATAATTATTTCTTTGCAGAAATAGGAAAAAGAGGCAAAGCAATTCAATCCCCATTCGTTTTCAGTGCTGGCTGTGTGACAAAAAGTGTTAGCGTGTTAATTATAGTCCACGGAAAGGTAGAATGTTGTAAAAATCATCATACATTCCCAAAGTGTATGTTTTCAGATGTCACCTACAACGGACCGCAAGGAAACTTCAAACCTATCAGCACAGAGCATGAATGAAAATGAAAACAACAGCTACCTGGGCAGGTAAAGACGGCAGGCTGTACATAGAAGTAACCTGAACATGGTTATCACTTCCTTGTTTTCCTGTACTCCTTATAAGGTATACAATCAGAAGGAAAATTCATTCAGGTGAAGACTTCTGTCAATTCCAGTTACTCTGGGTCCTAAAGCAACCCATCTGAGAACATTTTTTTTTTTTTTGTGCATGTCTGCATGTGTGTATTGAGCCACTCTAAAACAATTCCTTTAATTGTTCCCTGAGAGAATACATTAGGTAAGAGGTCGTAAGGTTGCTAAGTGAATATACCTGGAGAGATGTAAAAATCCCATTTTTTCAGATTCCCTGGTGTGGAGGGAAGCTTGTAAAGGCAGCTGTTTAAAAAAAAAAAAAACAAAAAAAAAAAAACAAAAAAAAAAAACAGAAATTATTCAGTTGTCACAGCTGAGGGGCTGGATCTTGAATAATCTGGCTTTGGTTATTCAAGATACAGAACACGTTGATTTTATTAACATTGCAAACTGGAAAGGAAATGCTGCAATTGTGGCTTTTTCTTAATATGCAGAGGAAGGAATAACTGCATTCCCAGTTCTGAAACTGACTTGAAAAAAATCACTTCAGCTTCAGCCCCACAAAAGTGCCCAAACATTCAGTAGCACTATAGCCCAGATAAAAAAAATATGATATTGCTATCTCTTCCCCCTCCAACCCAACTAGAAATGGAGGCAAAATATGCGGTTCTTACAACATCATTAAAAGAAATTAAATGTATTTTTCCTAGATTTCATCTAGCTTTTATGTTATGCTACTCTTGGTTTTGAAAACGATTGGTTCAGGACAACTCCTTTCTCATTGTGAGGGTCTACAACTGGTCTACACACTGCAGTGCAAAATTGCAATTTCATAGTTGCATTGCTGATGTGTCCTAAAAACATATAACCTGTTTTTCCACCATCAGAAATCCCACCAAAGCAGCAAAGCTAGCTTGTGAAACCGAGCTGCACTCATTGTGAAAACTGACAGGATCAGACCTCTCTTTTCAAACCTGGTGGTAGCTGCAATTTTGGGGCAGGATGTGACAGTAGGGATAGGTCTATACTAGTAAACCCAACATGCCTGGAAGCATTCCTGGGTATGGAGGCCAGCTGGCACGGAAAGAACCACATTTATGCTTGCAAATTGCCTATTGGGACCGTTCTAGCAACCAAATTGTGCCCAGAAATTGTTTGCAGAGAGTGTTAATTGGAAGAGGTCAAATTCCTGCCAGGGAAGCATTTTAACAGTTTCATAGCACAGAGAATCTCATTCTAGTGCCTGGAAACATTCCCAGGCACATCCGATTTTACTAATATTTACACAGTCCACAGGTAGTTTCATAGCAGCTCCAACTAGATTACGTCGAGCCTACCTTTGCCCTGCCCTCATGCTCACACCCCTTGGCTCTTACTGGTGTCCAAACAAACAGTGAGCTGATTCAACCTCATCCAATAAAAATCCACACACCTTCTGTAGGCGGGCTGATCTTTACCTGGCTGAGTTCCCTGCCCTCAGTCGCTGCCCACCCCAGTGCGAGCACCAGTTTGAAGGGAGAAGGAGGCAGACAGAGCTGGCAGAGAGATGGGAATATGGCAGTTTGGTTACAGCTCACCTTAGGCTGTTGTGGAACCACACCTTAACATTTCTATTTACAACAACATTCCAAAGTCTCCTTCGATTTCTTTCTATACCTAGGAGTGTCTTGCTCACCTATGACAATTTCTTGTGGCATGAAAAAAGCATAGATTAAATTATGTTCTCTTAGGTAGTGAGGATGCAAGTCTATGGAGGACAATGTCTGTAGTACATGAGGTCAAAAAGAAATGGAGTCGACTGAAAATGTTTGCTCATATGAAGACAAAATCCTACTGTAACTGCCATCCAACATGTTTTATTTCCCTTAATTTCTCTTTAATTTACATTTGTGTGCGTGTCCTATAATACTGTTGCTATGCCTACAGCCTCTCACAGCTCCAAAAAGCTAGTGCTTGCCCTTCCAATGTTGGAGTTCACTTTGCAGCTCTTACCAGCCTCCGGCAATATGACAACACCTCAAATAGTGTGCTCAAAGGACTACGTGGCAGTCCTTCAACTACCAGATACCAGACACCAGCAGTCTACAAGGGTAAGGACCAGCCAGCTGAATAGCTGGCAGTTAGAAAAAGCTTGTTTTCAGATTCAAAATACCAAAATTTTAAAGAAAGAATTATACAACCTACATAAAACTTACAAATACTGTTTGACATTATTGGTTTTCTGTTTGTGTAGTAACATTTTACATAGGTCCTGGCAAGGACAGCACAGCTGGGGGCTAAGTGCCTGCCTCTGAGTGGGATGGCTGTCAAATCTGAATTAGTCTTGTCTTCAGTAAAACAAATAAGTTTCACCAATTTATTGAAGACAGACCTCTCCAGATTGTCTGTAGAGCAGAGAAATAAAAGGACATGGCAAAACAAGTAACAACAAAAACAAACACACACAAAAAAGAGACAAGAACCAAGTTTCATTTTGGCTTTTAAAAACTCACACAGTGAGAAGATCATAGGACTGGGCAGAGTGGGAATGACAACTTCACTGACAGAGGCACAAGATGATTAGAGAAGTCTTGGGCAAGGCAAAAAAAAACAACAAAAACAAACAAACAAACAAACAAAGACAACTGAGTGTGAAGCAGATGCAACTTGTTTCGCAATGTCACTAAGTATCTGATGTGTTATCTAAAGATAATTTGGCTAGGAAGTTCCTCTACTAATATATTGTTTTAATGGCTTGAGCCGCTACACGTGCCAGAAAAAATGTAAACTGGAGTAGTCATGCTGATCAGGATAGGATGTGTAAAATCTCTGGGATCCTGGTATTGCTTGATTTGACAGCAAGATTTCCCTTCTTTAAGAAGTTATGTAATACAGTCTTGTTCTGTTAACCCAAATTAGAGGGATCAGCCCAACGAGGGAGATTACATTACAGACAGTGCAACTATCGCTGTTTTTATTCTCTACTACATGTTCATTTTGGAGCAAGTTCTGATCTTGCTTAAATCAGAGTTACGGTTTTACAATGACAGATTGCAGCAGAATACAGCGGTTATCTTGTATCTTTAGTATGAGCAATACTGAACAATGCAGGTCTGTGCTTCTTTAAAAGGTAATAAAATTTCTATAGGATAAAATCTTTACTGCATATTTTCCCCCATACCTGGCATTTATAATACATGAAGATAGCACAGAAAGATATTCTGGTCATCCAGTCAACCCTTAGTACATTCACCAAGGAGAAATCAACATTGAAGAGAGAGAGAGAGAGAGAGAGAGGAAGGGAGGAAGAAAGAAAAAAAAAGAAAATGTTGTGGATAGGGGATAAGAAATTAAAACAATATTAGCCTCAAGTTGTATTTCATTAATAAGTGTTCTTTCCTCTAAAAGCAATGTGTAACTTTTCTGACAAACTGAGCTGAATTCAGTGGTGAGTCTGGTGATGGGTCTCTAAATGTTTCACAATGGGAGGTGTTTACTTTCATTCAGATCTGAAAGTTACTTCATTTCAGAAAAAAATATCTCCTGCAAATAGCGTATAAACTGAGGTAGTGTGATTGCACAGACAGGGAGACCAGATCAAGAGACAGCAACAATTTTCTCCCGCTATACCAGACAAAACCTGCAAGAGGAGGCACATTAGGTCCAAAGAATGTTTAATAGTCAACGTAATGTCCCAACCTCATTGGACCAAGGGAAATCTCTTGAATTAGAAGAGATGCATACGGAGGAGAAATTCCTGTAGACAATCGCTCAGACTCATGGCTCTTAATTTGCAATGTTCATCTCATATGCACTCTCACTCTGAGAGCCTAGAATAAAACTGAGTAATCTAAAATCTGGATGTTTCGCAGGATGAAACAGTTGCGTGGATATTTACAAAGATGGGGGAAGTGCTTCCTGCCCTTCAGAAAACTGGTGTTTTCCTGCCCAGCCCTGTAGAAATGGAAGCAGTGAGATGGAGATCAGAGTTCAGGTCAAACTTTTTTGACCAGAGAGATTGTAACTGAAGGATGTGCAAAAGTCTACCAAAGAAGTGATACAAAGTAGATACAGCTTCTGTAGTTACCCAGTTTTGTTAATCTGCGCCAGGATAGCTGGGTGTAGCTGCAACAGAAAACAACCCCAGTCCAAAGAAACCACTGTCAGTATTAGAGCCCCGCAGAAACGACACAGGGTGTGGTAAGTGGAGATATGAGTGCCCAGTGACTGAGTTCCCATGGTTTGACTTCTAGTGGGCTGCAAGAACTGAATGGCTGCAGGTTGGGCAGGAAGGTTTCCCTGCAGCCCTGTGACTCAGGCCATGACTCATGCTTCTACCTCCTCTTGTTTCCGGCACAGTGCACTGCTGCTACACAAGGGCAGACTGAAGTCAGCAAGCCACCTCTTAGTGAACAGGGCGGAAATAGGAGGGATTGTTCACCAACTGTGCAGCAAACAGCAGGCAGACAACCCAGGGTGTTTTCAATCTGTGTTTACCTTACTCACAGCTCTGACCAAGCTTGTCACAGCCAAGGTTGTGAGCAAACCTTTGTCCTCAGTTTTCTTTGCGTGATTTAACAGTCTGAAAGATCTGTTTGATTTTCAGATTTGAATAAATTCTCACTCAAACCCAAATAGTCAAACCTCCAAATTGCACCAGGGCTCAAATGGAACTGGTAGAAAACCATGTGGTTTCCAGCTGGGATCTTCACTCAATCCACAGCATTCAGAACACACCAGGAATTTCCACATGGCCTACTGAATCTGGTCTGAGCTTCTGTTTGATTTTCACAAGTGCACTACACATCTATTTCTCTGTGTTTTAAAAGCAATGCTGGTGGGACCCCAGAGCAACATTCAGTGCTGTGCTGGTGGTTGGGATGGCCCTGAGCATCAGCTCCACAACATTTAACTTGACAGTAAGGGTGACAGAGCACTGGGACAGGCTGCCCAGAGAGGTTGTGGAGTCTCCTTCGACAGCAATGTTCAAGACCTGTCTGGATGCCTTACCTTTGCGACCTCCTGTAGAGTACCTGGGTTAGCAGGGGGGTAGGACTCAATGATCTCTCGAGGTCCCTACCAACCCCTGCAATTCTGTCAATCTGTGGCTGTTAACTGTGCATGACGTCAGACCTCTGCACATGAACTAGAGAACTCTCTGCAGATGCCCTCTTTCAGATGTACACTGAAAGCAAACTCTGCCTCCTGTCCCTGTTACAAAGGCAGTCCTGAGACACGCAACTTCAACTGCATAGCAAGAAGTGCTAAGGGTGAACAAGATGAGCTTGGTGACAGTGCTCTGCTTTGGAAAAAGCCAGTAGGAA